GTGTCTCATGGCCAGAGTTTCTGACTCTGTAGGGCTGTGGTGGGCCCGATCAGTTGTATTTCTAAGGCTGGTTGATGCGTATTGTCTGCAGTCCACATTATGAGACCCACTGATGGGAGGTATAGGAGAGTGGTGAGGGGTATGAGAGCTGATAGCTAGGGTGGTGGTGGGTACATGGTAGTGTGGGTGGGTCCACAGCATTGCTCCAGTACTCCATTTTTCTTTGGAAATATCCATAGTAAAAAATTGTGTATATGTATCTGTGTGTATGTGTGTGTCCAGACTTTGACTATTTCTCAACACCTCCATTGCTACCACCCTGGTCTAAGCTATTATCTTCTCTTGCCTGGATTGTTGCGGGGGTCTCCTTGCTTTCCCCCCTGCCCCCCCTAGGATCTGTTCTCAACAGAGCAGCCAGAGCAATCCTCCAAACCCTGCAACGGCTCCCTGTCACTCAGAGTGAAACCCCAGGTCTTTCTATGACCTACAAAGGTCTTTACAATGTGTCCTCCATGCTGTTTCCTCTGTCAGCCTCGAAGCTTCTTGTTGGTCCTTGGATAGTCAGGAATGCTTCTGCCTCAGGACCTTTACACATCTCCTGGGCCTGTAGTGGCCTCCCCACCATCATTCAGCCATCCTTGTCATTTCCTTCCTGCCTGCTTTCAAAAGTCGCCCCTGCAGCGAGGTCTTCTCAGATTATAGTATGTAAAATTTCACACACGTGCGTGCACACACACCTACACGCACAACCCACACACTTTACGCCTCCTTCCCTGCTCACTTTTTCTCCTTAGCTGCTATCACTGTCTGTATTGTGCTTATTGAGCTTGTCTGTTCCTCTTGGCAGGAAGCTTGCACCGAGTAGGCCCCACCACTCTGCCTTTGTGGATATGCCTTGGCCGTGCCACTCTTCCTGGCTCCCACTCCCTCCCGGGTTGGCCTCCACTGTCATCTCACATCCATTCATGACACACGTTCCTTCTTTGCCACTGCCAAATGCCTGCCTTGGCCAGCTCTGCTCTGCAGGGGTTTTTGTCTGTTTGGTTCGCTGCTGTATTTGTGTCTAGGACAGTGCCAGCCATGGCAAGCTCTCACGACGCTGTCTCTGGCTGCATGGCTGAGTCCCAGGGGCCAAGGGGTGAATGAAGAAGAGGTTGGAAAGTACACGAGGGGACGTTCCTTAAAGGCTGGAAATTTGTGGCCAGTGGGAGGGGAAGGAAAGGCACTCTAACATGGAGAAACCTACAGGAAATGCAACAAAAGTGTGAAAGACAAGAATAGTCTATTTTCGAAACATTAAGTAAGGGAGGACAGAAGTTGCAAATGGGCAGGCCAAATGCAGTCTGCAGAGGTGTGTGTTCAGCCCACACGATGCTTAAAATAAACTTGGATTGGTTGCCAACACTGAAAAATCAGGAGTGTCTTTCTCTCAAAAAACGAGAGGCTCGCTGGCACCGGGTTGGCATGGGACTGACCATCTGCACCCATTAGAGGGGGTATGTGTCCTCTGGTCCCCTGGGGCCCCCTCTAGCAGCTTCATTCATTCATTACCTGCCTGTTGCTATTGTAGACATTCCATCTGTGGCTCCCTTTTGAAGAGCAGAATGGATTTCTTCTTCCTTAAAACCTAACTGAGGGAATACAGTTGTTTGGGACTAGCAGGGATGTCGGGTGATTTTGGAACAGACTGCCTGAAAGGCCAGGCCACTGGGAGCTCTGGGGGTGGGGCAGAAAAGGCAGTGGGGTGGGGGGCTGCATTATGGGAGCAGAACGTTCCATTCCCCCTTATACACTGAGGGTCAGAGGGAGCATTGGAGAGAAGTGCATGGAAAAGAGAAAATCAGCTTCTAGGAGAGACAGCTTGCCAGCAAGTCTAGGCTTTAAAAAGACTGGCTCACCACATGAAAAAGTGACCAAGTGTTATGGGTTCACATGTGTCCCCGAGAAAAGATATGTCAAAGTCCTAATTTGCAGTATCTCCGAATTTGGAGATAGTCATTGCAGATGCAATTCAGTGACATGAGATGACATCATATGATGAATCCCAGATCCAATATGCCAAGTGTCCTTTTAAGAAGAGGACAAGACACAGGGACATGCACACAAAGGCCAGGAGAAGATGGGGATGCGAATTGGAGGAAGGCAGGAGGAGCACCGAGCTGAGAGCCAGAAGCAGGAGGAGGCCGGGCGGGCTCCTTCCCTAGAGCCTTCCGAGCGACGGGCCTTGCCCACACCTGCTTCAGCCCTCTGGCCCTCGGCCCTATGAGATGGTCACGTGTTGTTTGAGGCCAGTGAGGTGGAGGCTTACTGCGAGTTCCCAGGTGCAAAGTCCGGCAGAAAGGGGACCTGGTGGCCCTGAGGTGTGTTGGTTTGTCTGCTGAATAAGAGGTTAAGAGTCTTTGTTACTTGTATTGGCTAAACGTTCCTGGTGACAGGGGCTGTGATGCATGCACTTGTCACCTGCGATCCAGCAGGGCAAGCGGCCAGTTCTGTTGCCACAGCTTCTCCCCGTGGGCACATTCCCACCCCTGGAGTGTGAACTTGACCACAGCACTTCAGTGAGCAGTTTCCTGGATGTTTTATTTTATTTTCTCAGGATGATTTGCGGAGGTAAATGAATATATAAAGGCCTCCTTGTTGCTGGTTAACAAAATGAGAACCAGGTGATACTAAGGCTTCAGGATTCTGTGTGAAGGCTTTGTAAAGCTCTGAGGGCTGACATATATATTTTTTGTGTGTCAAAATTATTCTCTTGCTTTATCAATGTGTGTCTTGAGATGAGGGCCAGGATCCTGGCCCTGCCTACAGCACCTGTGTGCAGGAGACCCCAGTCTGGATGGCCTGTGGCCTGCAGGATTAGGATTTCACAGGATTTACCTGTCCTAGAGCAGCGAGCAGGCCCATTTCCAGAGGACTCTGTAGGCACAGGACGCAGTGTCTGACCCTCGGCAGTGAACTTGCCATCACCTCTGGGCAGAGGGTGGTGTTCATTGCGCAGCCAGGCGCAGATGCAGGGAATGGAGAAGCTACCTCGTCCCCCTCACCCATCATCAGTGTGGGAGCCGGAGGCCTATGGCCTCCGAGAAATGGGTTAGAGCCACCTGGGGGCCCCTTAGATATCAGCATCCTCATCCGTAATCCCTGTGACTGTTACCTTGTATGGCAAAGGGGACTTTGCAGATTTGATTTAGTGAAGGGGCTTGAGATGTGGAGATTGTCCTGGGTTACCTGGGTGGGCCCAGGGTACTCACAGGGGCTTTTAAAAGAGGGAGGGTGGGTGGGTGCCTGGGTGGCTCAGTTGTTTAAGCATCTGCTTGCAGCTCAGGTCATGATCCCAGGGTCCTTGGGATTGAGCCCCATGTTGGGCTCAGCGGGGAGCCTGCTCCTCCCTCTCGCTCTGCCCTGCCCCTGTCTGCTCTCTCTTGCTCTCTCTCTCAAATAAATAAAAATCTTTTTAAAAAAGAGAGAGGAAGGAAGCAGGAGAGAAAGAGAGAATGAGAAGGAAAGGTGGGAGCAGAGGCCAGAGTGAGGCTGTTGCCGGCTTTGAAGAGGATGGGCAGCAGCCAGGAGCCCAGGGATGCAGACGGGCTGGAGATGCTGGGGAGTGCCAGGAAACAGGTTCTTTCCTAGAGCTTCCAGAGGAATGCAATCCTGCCAACACGGATTTTAACCTAGTAAAACCCATTTCAGAGACTTCTGACCTGCACAGTTGTCAATGCACGGATGTGTGTTGTTTTGAGCCAGTGGGTCTGGTCATTTGTCACCACAGCAGCAGCAGCAGAAGACTGGTGACTCACGCTCCCTGCGGCTGCCCCTTCTCTGAACCTGGGTGAGGGAGTAGGTGGGACTGTCCCCCCAGTCCTGCTCATAATTAGCTTTAGGTTATGCCCCCTGGCCCCCCTAACAAATTCTAATCAATCCAAACAATTCCTCTGAGTATGGGGGAGGGAGCGGGGAATGTGACTTAGTAAACTGGTTGTTAACCTCTTCAGCGTCACTAACTCCTTTGTGATTCTGAGCAAAACAGCAGCTCTCAGCCCCATAATAAAAATACATCCAGAAATTTGCGCACAGTTGCAGAGGTCATACCGATTCCCCCAAACCCTCTCCCGTGGAGTGGCCGTGTCTGCTGGGCCTCCCTCTGTCACCCCAGGTTAAGAGCCCATCTATCACAGTAATTCAGAGGCAGAGTGACTGCTTACCTAGTAAGCCTCCCTAATGGTGTCTGCTGGCCCCTTATTTGAGATGATTTTGGATTGATATTTCATTCTCTGAATATAGAAACATTCATCAGAGGAAGGACCCAAGGGCCCTGCCACCCTCCATGCCAGATGGGTCTCTGGTGTCCTTGCAGGTCAAGGGCTCCCAGCTCCGAAGGATCTTTCCATCTGTCGGGTCTGCTATCTTCTTTTGCTTCCACCCAAGGCTGTGTCTTATCCTTGGCACTGGTGGCGAATGCTGAAGACCTCAGGGGCCCTGCTCCTGCAGCTTGCAGGGAGCCGCCTTGGGCCCAGGCCGGGGTACCAGCGGCACGTGGGTCTTCTGTGCAGCCTCTCCTGTGCGTCAGCAGGTCCCTGCAGGCAGGTGGGCACTTGCGGGCCGAGCCCCCACTGAACAATATTTAGGAAGGAAGGTCCACCCCATCGGGCAGCGATGACTCACTCCTGATTCTGAGCCTGTAGACGGGGCTGGGCCTGCGGCACCTGCACCTGGCTGGAACCCCAGCACCTCCCGGCAGCCTAGCTGGGGACTCTCCTCACTCTCCCCAGCCCCCAGGGAGCTGTGGGCGCTTCCAGAGAGCAAGCTTTTTGTGGGAAGGTCTAAATCTCTGCAGCCTGGTGATTCGCTGATCATAAAACCTCCACACACGTTACTCGAGGCCGAGCTTTTGTCTCTGCGTTTTCTTTTTCGAGTGGGTGGGAGCCAGATTGGAAGGCTGCGGTGAATGAACTCAACAGGAGCCCGGGGCTGATGTTGTCTGTGATGTGTTTCTCCCCCAGCTCCGGAAGAGAAGGAGGTCATTAAGGGCCAGTATGGGAAGCTCACGGATGCTTACGGCTGCTTGGGGGAGCTCAGGTTGAGATCTGGTGAGTACCCACCCGTTCCGGCAAACAGCAGCTGTCAGAACGTCTGATGCTAGACTTTCAGGGCGCCGGGCAGAGCTTCTCTTGTGTTCGTTTGGAAAGGCTGCCGGATTTAGGCATTTTATTTTAGCTGTTATGATCTTTTAAAATGTTCCTTTATTTGGCTGAGCCTGCTTCTCCATGCCAGGGAGGAGGTCAAGGTGAATGAACGCAGCCTGGTTCTCACCTGTCTGTGCTGGTGGAGGAGGAGAATGTGTGCAAAGGAAGCTCACCTTCATTATTTGCCCTCCAGGACCTGAGTTTTTCCAAAGTCAGGTCTGGGAGGGGCCACCCAGGGGGCTGTATGTTGTTTACAGGGGATCCGTGCTCTAGAAGGGGTGGATGCGAGAGGTCAGAAGCCCCCGGACTCACTGGGTGGCTTGGGAGAAGAGCCGGGACAGGGCACATTGGCAAGGAGAGAAGAGCCCCCGAGCACCTGTCGTCGGACACCGAGGATGGGGTGTGAGCGAGAGGAAGGGAAAGTGCATGCAGAAAAGGGGCCACATAGTCTGACTCACAGGCTGAGAACTCACAGGAACAAGCAGGTGTCCTTGCTCATATGGGACCCTCGGGCTGAGCTGTCGGCTGGGCTGCTATTGGGGGTCGCAGCCTTCTGGCGGGGCCCCTTGCCTTGTCCCCTCTGCGCCCCGGACCTCACTGGAGCCTTGGGGCACTTGTGGGCTGCACCACCATTCCCCTCCCTCCTGTCTCAGCCACCTCATGTGGGTTGGCCCCACCCAGTGTGTTCAGGGACACTGGGCGCCAGAGCACAGGTGACATCCCTCATCCGCCGTCCGGCTTCTCAAAGTGAGAACGGCTGTGAGCTGACCAGACTCAGCACACGGCTGTTCCCGGGCCGAGCGTGGTAGGGCTCCTCGTCTCCCACACCAGCCGTGTTCACAGACACGATTTGTTAAGCCAACAGAATACTGGTGTTCGGCACTACTTTTCTGGGTCTTCTCTTTCGTGGGATGGTGTCTCCTGATCTGTGGTGATTCCACGGATCGTTTCCAGCTAGTGTGTAGGAAAAGCACTCAGTACCCACATGACAAGATGCATCTGTTCATGTCTGTTTTATGCCCGGGGCTAGGTATACATTAACGTATTTAATCCTAAAGATAAGCCAATAGGATATTGTGTCTTGCCCACTGTTGATAGTAACGAAAACAGGCTCAGAGAATCAAAGTAATCGCCTCCGGTGAGAAGAGTAGCTAGGATTCAAACCCAGATCGAGCCGCCTCCATATGCTTGCTTTTTCCCTGAAAAACGTGCTGCCTGCCAGGGATTTGCTGTAGGACTTTCCCCACCGTGATTTTAATGAGGTTATGAAAAATTCCTGTGGCCCATGCTTCCAGACGATGATATGAGGATGCCAGCTAACCTTCCATACCGCCTCCTCTGTGCCAGACCCTGTTTTGATGTATTAACTCGGTTCTCCCAAAGTGAAAAGCAGGTGCCTGTTATTGTCCTGCTTTACCTTAAGTGCTATATTTGGTCTATTCTGTGATATATATATATACATATATATATATATATATATACATATATATATATAGTTTTTTTGTTTTTTGTTTTTGTTTTTGTTTTTGTTTTTACATTGTAGCATCTTGGCTGATAGGATGTGTCACAGTTGCTGACATCTTACAGTTATAACTGGCAGTGTTTTTCTCCGACATAAATCATTGATGCATTTTGCATGTGACCAGGGCCTGGATTTAGCACAGAGCCAGAACTCAGCCAAGGTCAGGGAGTTCTCAAATGGTGACCTGGGTTTTAAACTCGTGCCTTCTGGCACCTGGGGTTGTTTTCAACCACCAGGCTGTTCTGTCTTGAAAAGGGGCAGAAAAGTTTGAGCTTCCAAGGATAGGAAGAGCAGTACCTTTCTGTCATCCCAGAGGAAAATGTTTTCTTCCTGGACTATGATCTGAGATCAGCCATGGGGAGTTGCTCTTAACAGGGAAGGGCAGCAGCCCACCTGAGAAATATTGTCAGAGTGGGCCAGCGTGTCTGTGGGGTGTTTGGCCCAGGGTCAGGGCAAACTTCTGCAGAATCGTCCCAGGGCAGGATGTGGAGAGAGGTGACCACAGCTAGAGCTGCCCCAGGCAAGGCCCTGCTCTCTTCAATGCCACCCCCCTGCCCCTTCCCTAAGGAGTGAGTTTGCACACAGGGCCATGCTCCTAGCATTGAGGATCGTCAGGTCCCCAGCCACTGTGTCTCATGTCCTCTGAGTGCCCCCAGCCCTGCCTGCCAGAGTTGCTCTTCCAGGGTGGGCTGCCAAAGCTCTCCGAGGGGGGTAAGGATGACTTCTGAGTTTTGGAATGTCAGGATTATTTGGCCTGTCTTCAACGCATTCCTGAAAGGGCCTAGGGTATCTGAAGGATGGAAGGATTGGGCCTTATCATGGAGTTTCTCAAATCCCCTTCGGCTGCATGATGAAGTGCTTGGCTTTAACTTTATTTTCTTTTCCTGCTCCAAGTCCCTAACCCAGAACTATCATGTTTTCCTCTCCCCGGTGTAGGGCTGTTGGGCAGTGCAGAGTGAAATCCCAATTGGGGGTTGCCACCAAGATAGGCAGCCCGAGTTAGGGATGGGCATCCCCTTTGACTTTTTTTAGGCTGAAGATCTCTGTACAAAGAAAGAGACTGCCCCTCAGGCTTATAACATGGGGCAGGTTGTTCAATTTCAACCTACCTAAGTGAAGACAGCTTTTTTTTTTTTTAATGTTAGAAATTAAGAAATGTGAACAAAAATCGCATACAAGTTTTATCCCAGGTTCCTAGGTTTTCATGGAGACCATAAGTCCCTCCTTCCTCCTTGAAATGCCAGCAAGAAGGGGGTGGAGCCCCCACAATTAGCCGGGGAGTCTGTTTCCTGATGCATACAGGATACAAAGCACAGAAAGTGAGAGTGTAGCAGTAGAAAGAATGTATCCCAATGATTATAGGGATTTAACTCCCTTTTAACCTAAGCTCTCATGGCCTCCCTGCTTCAGAGCCTCAAGGGCGGAATACAGTGAGGTCTGTAATGGATTGTGTCTTCTGGAGTTATGTAGTGCACAGGCTGTAAAGCTGTACGGGACGGCCGTTCTAGATTCTAGTTCCAGCTTCATAATAGACTCCCCATCTGTACTTCGTAATTTCTCTAGGGCCGTATTCCCACCTGCAAAACCAGGAAAACTGCCTCATCTCTATATTACATAACTCTTAAGAGACTTGTAGGGGAGAATAAACATGGTCTGAACATGGGTACTAAGTGGGAAGGGGCTGGCCTGCAGAGGGGTCTCTCTGGGAGAAGTAGGTATGGGGTGGAAGTCAGGTTGCTGACTCCCGGTGAATGGTTCATCCGCACAGGCCGGTGGAGGGCTCCCTTCTGGGTGGGAAAATGAAATGAAAATGAAAAGTCTCTGGAGTGGGAAATTTGATAGTCTTCCGTCTTGAGATTCCGGGTATGCAGTGTTCTCTAGAGAGTCTTGAAATGATGTGGCCTTCATCATTCCTAGAATAATTTATTACCTAAATCCAGTAGTGTGCTGGTAAATATTTGACATCCAGCTCTCTGGGGGGAAAAAAGCCCTAATGTGTCATGTTTGCCAGCTTCTGTGGGGTAGCTGACCCACCCGGGGCGGATTCCAGGCTGAGAGCGGAGTTGGGGAAAGATGTGCACCACTGGCTCGCATGAGCGGGTGCTGGCTGCCAGCACACCGATGCTGACACCACTTTCATGTTCTAGAAAGGGAGGGTGAAAGAGATCCTTGAAGCTATGCCACGTGAATGCAGGGTGTTTAGAGTTCTGAGTTTGTTGGGGGGGGGAAGCCTTGAGGACCCTCCACTCTGTGAGTGGGAAAGCCTAGAGCTCCTAAGTCCTTTGTCTACAGCTTCAAAGTATGAGGGTGTCCTGTCCAAACAGGGTAGACACAGTGGTCTGTAGGTACCACAGGGCTGAGATTGGCACAGACCTGGCCAGGGAGCAAACTCCAAGGCTGAGCAAACAAAGAAATGCCAACGCAGGGAAAGAAAGAGGCTCAGCAGTGAGAACACACCCAGCATTGTCCCTGCACAAACGGCATTGTGTCTTCGCATGACTCATCGTGATTCCAGCCCCAGCCCTTCCCAGCCAGATGACAATGGTCACAGCTAGATAAGACATGGACCCCGTTACTGCAGGGTCAGGGGGTTTGGGGCAGCTGTGCCTTGGAGTTGGGTTTTGAAGGCAGCCCTCTGGAGGGAGAGAATTTCTAAATTGACTCAAGGTCTCTGAGGTTTTTGTGTATGGGGGGGAAATATAGAGAGGACAAAATTTACCATTTTAACCAGTTTAGAGTGGACAGTTTGGTGGCATTAAGGACATTCACATTGTTGTACACCCATCACCTCCATCTGTCTCTAGAACTTTTTTCATCTTCCCAAACTGGAACCCTGTCCCCACTAATCCATACACTTTGGCGTGGCTGACTTCCATTCCTCCGCCCCACTTGCTCAGACTGCAGGAGTTGTCTGGACCGTGAGCCTCCTGCCCTCTGGAGGGGTGTCTACGTCCCCATATATGTCAGCCCTTCTGGCTCTGGTGTGTCTTTTTGGCCTGTGACCCATTGCTTGCCCTCCCTGTCACCTCACCTGACTGCAGCCAGCAACCTCTGACCCAGGTGTGCTCTATCTTTGGCCAGAGCCCTGGAACCAGAGATCCTCTGGGCTGGAAGGGACATAGAAGCCATCAAGTGCTTCGTTCTCCAAGGCCCAGAGAGGGTAGGAGACTGGCCAGAGGCCCCAAAGCCTGGTGGAGGCATGCTGAGTCCAGAGCCTCACCTTCTGAAGCCAAAAAGCAAGTTTGAGTTTTGTCTTTCCCTTGCTATAAGATCCTTACTGATTTCACACCCCTGGACTCAGCCTCGACTAATGACTTCTGAGACTTTCCCCCTGCCCTGCCTCCCCCCAGGCCTGGCGTACTTCTTGGCTGGGAGAAAACTGACCCTAAAGTCTAGGTCCTGTGTGCACGGTGGGCACCCAAGGGGACATCTCACACACCTGTGGCAGGTGAGTCCCACCAGCCCCATTATCCTCTAGAGACACCTTTTCTGCTGGTATCGCAGGCCAACACCATACTGACAGGTAGGCCGGGGGCATGGACTCCTTACTACCACCACCAACACTAATAGCAATAGTCTGGTGCTTGGCTGGAACCAGGGCCCTTTCCTTAAATCTGTAGTATGTGGAGCACATCCGAGGGTTCTAGACAAGATTGGGTAGGTAGAGTTGTGCCAACACTGGGGTGACAGGGAGCCACACGCCAGCTGAGTGGGGCCAGGTCCCCCTCCTGGAGGGCCCGCTGCCTAGCACAGTTCCTCTGGGGCCAAGAGACTTCCATGGCACTCAGATGTGGTCAGTGCTAAGGCGGTTTCTAGGTCCTCCCCTCTTTGGCCTAAGAACATCCCTGTGCTGAGGGGCCTGCTTCTCATCCTCCTCTGTCCCTTCCCCAACCACCCATCTTCCGTCTTACCTTCTCCCCCCCAGAATTGCATCATGGTGTGTGGCTCTGGGAGGCAAATGCCTACAGATGCCAAACAAAGGTCCAGTTCCCACAATTGTTGGCGCTGCCAAGGAAGCAGGTCACTCAGTGACTGGGTGGTGACAGTCGATTTACCAGTCGGGTGCTAGCCAGTCATTTGCTTTCTACAAAACTGAGGGAGAATTTCAGTGGGCTGTCAGCTGACAGCATTAATAATAACTGTATGGATAGATTTTGTGATTCTTCTTTGAGATTTTATTTATTCCTGAGAAACACACAGAGAGAGGCAGAGACATAGAGGAAGAAGCAGGCTCCCTGAGGGGAGCTAGATGTGGGACTCCCTCCCGGGACCCCGGGATCACGCCCTGGGCCAAAGGCAGACGCTCAACCCCTGAGACACCCAAGCACCCCTGTGATTTTTTTTTTAAATCAGGTAACTCGGAAGGACTTTGAAGAGTGTATAGACAACATTTCTATATTGAAGCCCTTTCTTTGCCATCGATGTCTTCATGTGAACGTGGTTTCTTAGTGTTCCCATCTACAAAAATGAAAAACAGAACTTAAAGTGGTATAGAAGCTGGTTTCATTCTGTTAATAAATGATATTTATTATTTGATGAACCGGAGGTCCCATCCACCTTCCCAACAAATCTTTATTTTTTATGTTAAAACATGATTTAGCAAAGCATTTTGTTTACATCGTTCGACTGATTTTGTACTAAAAATCATTGCAGTGATAACTCAAGCCAAAGTCTTTTAAACACTTTGAGCACTAGGATCAAACTGCCACACAATGTGATCAATATGAGATGCAGAAGCATGAAATATGTGACATTAGGATGAAATCCTGGGTGGATGTGGGATGGAAATGCAAGGACAATCCCATCTGTTAGTGAAGAACTCGTTTGTGTGTTCCTTTACCAAACCAGAGCCTAGATTCCACTGGGTGATGGTAAAGAGGCCTACAACACTTTCATTTTTACACGTCAACATTTGGTATGTGCTGGAAAATATATTATTCACAACCATTTAAACTATTGAGAGAACCTGTGTCAGTTTCCAAAGGAGTGAGTGGTGCGTAAGCCACGCACACCCCTAGTGAGACAGTTAAGTCCACAAGATTGGAGACTGCCAGACCTTGGGGCCCGATGGAGTTGGGGAGTGGGACCCACGTGGGCATTGTGGGTCCAACAGAGACTAGCTGTACACTTGGGCAGACTATTCAGCTCCCCTGGGGGACATTCCCTTGTGTGTAAGATGGGAGCATCGTTAGGCACATTGGTGCTCCATCAGCAAGGATATGGGCCAGAGCACCAGCTCTGGAAGCAGACTTGGCCTGAGTAACTTGCCCAGGCGGTAGAGCCCAGAAGGGGCTTCAAATTCCAGTTCCCCTTCTGTGTCACCTTGGGTAGGCTTCTTAACCTCTCTGTGCCTCCATCTGCCTCTCTGTAAAATGGGGCTAAAAGTGGTCCTACCTCCATGGGGTTGCTGAGACGAAGTTCATAGAACAGTGCCTGGTGCCTGATAAGCACTGCCCTGAAAATCCACTGTCATTAATCTGCTGGGTTTCCATGTGCTCCGACAGTGGCTTTTTGTTGTTGTTGTTGTTGTTGTTTTTAATTCACCTGTGCCCTCTCCTGAGCCCCCTCATCCCAGGACACAGGAGCTTGAATTCTCATTTAGTGTAAGAGCCTTTTCATGCCTGCTGCAGCCACCTATCAGAACCTACCCCAGGCCACTGCCCTGCACAGGAAATGCCTACTGTCTTCAAAGCCACTGGGACTCTTGCCAGGCACTCAGTCCCCCCACGCAGAAGCTGTTGAGGAAGTGGTGCTAGAAATCCACTCCACAGCTTGGGTAGAGAGACATAGTTTTCCATGCCTCTCCTTGAACCCACTCTCTACAGAATCCATTCTTGGGCTCCCAGCCTGGACCACAGGGACTGTCCCCTGGCCATGCCTCTGACTCTTCTTTTTTTTGTTTTTGTTTTTTAAATTTTTTTTTTTTTATGATAGTCACAGAGAGAGAGAGAGAGAGTGAGAGAGGCAGAGACACAGGCAGAGGGAGAAGCAGGCTCCATGCAGGGGGCTTGATGTGGGACTCGATCCCGGGTCTCCAGGATCACGCCCTGGGCCAAAGGCAGGCGCCAAACCGCTGCGCCACCCAGGGATCCCCTTGTTTTTGTTTTTAATTAATATATTTATTCATGACAGACACAGGAGAGAGAGAGAGAGAGAGAGAGAGAGAGAGGCAGAGACACAGGCAGAGGGAGAAGCAGGCTCCATGCAGGGAACCTGACATAGGACTTGATCCCGGGTCTCCAGGATCACACCCCAGGTTGAAGGCGGCGCTAAACCGCTAGGCCATTGGGGCTGCCCACCTCTGAATGTTCTTGAACTCTGCTTTCCCTACACTGAGCACATCAAAAGAGGCAGATGGGATGCCTGGGCATTGATTCTAGCACAGGCTATGGGAATAATTGTATTTGTGAGGCTATAATTCGAGGATGTCAAGCCCACACAAACCTCACCTGTCTTCCAAAAATGATACTTATCATTACAAAATCCAGCCCCCAATACCTATCACTGTCCACAGCATAACTGCCTTATCCTTATGTAGCTTTAAAGTAGTTTCCTGATAAGCTGCCTGGGGAGGTGGGTATGAGCAAGCATAGTCACCCTGTAGGTCCCCCCAGCAAACATGGTAGGAGTGGTGACCTAGTTATCAGATGAAGGCATCTTAAAAAAAAAAAAAAAAACCCAGATGTGTCCTGCCTGGCCCTGAGCAGCACTCTTCTTTCTATAAAGCGTGAGGAGGGAGTGGAGGCCACACAATGAGCTGTGGACCTTAAGGGTCTTTTATCAGAATGTCCAGAGATCTAAAACATTGACCACCATGGCTCCAGATAGTGACTTCTGACCATTTGGAGTAGATCTTGCTGGGAACAGGTCCTTTAAACCTCAGCAGGGTGAGAAGAATCTCCTCTGGACCAGAACCATGCCAGGCCCTGAAGGCCAATTGGTCACCCAAGTTACATCTCGGGCCCTCTCCTGAAATAGAGGGGGGCATCGTCCCTGGTGTCCCCAGAGCAGAGCCTTGCCATATACCCGTGACTCACCGGTATGTGTTTATTAGCACCTTTGTGTGCCAGGGGCCTGCTGTGCAGTGGAGGGTGCAGAACAGAAGGTTTGGTGGGATCCCTGGAGAGGGGTGTCTCGTTCTCCTGGCAATCAGGTGAGCATCGGTATGGGTAACCCTTTCACAGGAAGTGGGGAGGCTTGAGCTGCCCTCTTGCTGGTTTATGTGGGATGTATTCATCAAACGTTTGACATGTGCCATGCTGGGATTTAACAGTGAACCAGAGTCCTGCCCCTAAGGAACCCCCAATCTACTGGGGACACAGATTGGAAGGAGGTTGTTAGCTTTGCATATGTGAGAGCTAACAGGGATGCTGTTGGCATGTAGGAGGGCACATAACAATGTCTTGGGAGAACAGGGAATGCTTCCCAAGGGTGGAGAGGAACTCTCCTGGAGAGGAGGGACTGAGCTACGGTGGTCCTGATGAACCCCGGGCAGGCTCGTGACTCTGCTGGAGGCTGGAGGCAGGGCAGGCGAGTGGGGAAGGCATTGATGGGCAGATGGTGGTGGGGCATCCCAGGCAGAGACAACATCGTGGGCAAAGGCCCAGGGGTGCGAGGGCATGTGGCACATTTGAGATGCCGCAGAGGACAGCCCGTGAGAGCTGCTGGACCAGGGGTGGGAGGAATCGGGTGGCTGGCCCTGGGGGAGTTCCCCTTTCAGTCCTGGAGGAGGTGGGATTGTGGGAGGACTCATGCAGAGAGGGAGGTCCTCCATCAGGCAACTTTGAGAGGCGACTCCAGTGACTGAGCTTGGAGGACTGACCCCATCCGGGGGCCCTGAGCCAGGTGCTGCCTGAGGATTTGTGGAGAGGGCCCACTTGTGAGGCTTTGGGGTAGCAGATTGAAGGAGAGGCCATGGGGCCCGCAAGGTTCCAGGTCAGTGATCCTCTGGCTAGTGGGCAGCAGAATGATCTGGGTGCTTGTGAAAGCCCAGGTGGCTGGCTCCTGGTCCAGCGGTCTGGATGGGACCAGAAATACGCATTTCCAGTGGGCTCCCAGGTGGTGGTGGTGGTGGTCAGAGGCCACCTTCCGAGAACCAGGTACCTGGCTTTAGGCTCAGGTGACAGAGATTCCTGGGGTGTGAGAGAGCAAACACAGCCATGTGGTTGCCGTGGAAACGTGGGCACCGGTCCCCTGTGCGGCTGTGGCCTGTTCTACCGCCAGCCCGATGTGGTCCTAAGCCCTCCTGTTTCCCTTCCAGGCGGTGCCTCCCTGAGCTTCCTGGTTCTGGTGACAGGCTGCACATCCGTGGGCAGAATTCCAGAGGCTGAAATCTACAAGATCACCGCCACCGACTTCTACCCTCTACAGGAGGAGGCCAAGGAGGAGGACCGCCTCGTAGCCTTGAGGAAAATCCTCAACTCGGGTGTCTTCTACTTCTCGTGGCCCAATGATGGGTCTAGCTTCGACCTCACCGTCCGGGCACAGAAGCAGGGCCATGACAGCTACGAATGGGGGAGCTCCTTCTTTTGGTGAGGGCCCAGGGTCGTCTCTTGCCCCCTGTCCCCCACCTCCGTCCTCTTGGGTCATGTGGAGGGTAGGCTCTGATTGGCACCTGTGTCCTTGCTCTCCGCTTTACATCATCCCTAGGATCCTGGGCTACCTCTGAGAGCCCAATCGTTCTCAGCACAGTGAGAAAAATATGAAAGCCCCATCCCCACTCCTGAGCCCAGGGAAGGGGTTCAAATAGGTCTACTGTAGATTTAGAAAAGAAACTCCCCATAAGTAGAGAGCATAAGAGCCAACATCCGCCAGGTGCTTCCTAAGTACCTGGCCGTGCCCAGTGCTTTTGTGGTCCTCTCAGCAATCCTGGTTACCCTCTGGTGCACATACATTTACCACTGATGCTTATAAGGTGCTCATGTTCTAAGTTTCCTGCAGGTAATAACTCAGAATCCTCATAGTAACCCATAAGGGAGGGTCTGTTTGTTATGCCCATTTTACAGATAAGGAGACTGAGGCTTGAACAAGTGAAGGAACTCGAACCCAGGCATTTTGGCTCCAGATCCCACACTGTTAATCACCAAGCCAAACCAGCTCCTCCAACAAATAGGGAAACTGAGTCAGCCTGCCAAAGTGATGTGCGGTCATGTGATAAGACATGTCCTGAAGCCCAGACAAAGGTGCCTGGATTTCTGTTATGTTTAGGGTTTATTCAAGTGCTCCTTCATGGATGTAGCTAGGTGTGGATGACTGAATTAAATATGTAGATTATCTATTGCCCTTTCTGGACCCTGAGGCTCACGACCCTGGCAAGTCGTGGTGGGGAGGGGTGGTGCGGTGATTTAGACAGACCAGTGCCAGGTCTGTGTTGTCAATTGCTGTTCCCCTCAGATTTGCCAGGAGACATGTGAGAAGTGAGTCAGAAGCCAATGTGATGAAAATCGTGCTGTAGAAATTGCTCCAATATGCCTCATCTACTGGATGTTCTTAGAATTGCAATGCTGGCTCTTCGCAGCCACCCCGGTTCTCCAGCCCTAAGGGCCAGTGAGGCTTATTTACATCCTTTATTTGAGGCTGCCTCCCTTCCCTTGCCCAAACACAGAAAGTCATTGGGCTCCTTCACTGGATAAATGTTTTTTCCTTGATGCTTCGGGCCCCCCACTCCTGTCTGACTTCTGTTTGGAGAGAGAGGCTTCACCATATCCTGCCCTGTGCCTCGGCAACCGCCCACCCCAATCCTCTTGGGCCGGCTGGTTTTGTTGCGTTTTGGGGGCAGTATTGTGCTTAAACTTGAAAACACCTGTGACTCTCCTGCTGATCTTGTTAAAATGCAGATTCTGATTCAGCAGGTCCGAGGGCTGGGAGGTGGGGGGTCAGACTTACCATTTCCAGCGAGGTGATGATGGTGGCTCCTGTCCTGCTGGTTTGAGGCCCACTCTCAGAGGAATAGGTCCAGAGGATGGTGCTTCTGTGAATCACTGATTCCTTTTGCAGGGACCGGCGGGTGCAGATGCTCCTGAAGTCAGCTGAATTCAGAGATGCAAGGGCTGGGGGTTATGAGGGCTATTTGTGCGAAGGCCGCAGAGCCCACTTCCAACAGGGACTGTCAGGCAAGGAGAGGCGAGAGGTCTCCGAAGCTGTACCATTCCTGGGCAACATCGGAGGACCATAGCGGGGGCCTGGGGAACTGGATGGCCCCGGCACCATTGTGACTGCTCCGGTCGGGCCTCCTCGGGCCAGTTCGGTGGCTGGAGACGTGAGCCCCACAGAGAACAGCAGTAAGGGTGCAGGTTCACAGGGTGGAGGCTGAGAGGGGCTTGGGAAGGGGGAAGCCCTGAGTGGCCACCAGACCGTATCTTGAGCTGAGAAGAAGCAGCAGCTCTTGGGTGGGGGTGGGGGGGTGTGCCAAGGCCTCCGGGCCACACCACACTCCAGGGCGTGGTGTTTGGGCAGCGCCCAGGGAATTGACCACAGCTGAGTCAGCCCCGACCAAGTGGTCATGGGCTTGATCGCCTAAACCCACCATTTGGGGTGCTGTGTGCCAGGTCTGGGCCCACTTATGGAGTCAGATGGGGTCAGCACTGGATGCAGCTGGTGAATGAGGGAGAGTGCGCGGTGGTGTGAAGTTGTTTTTCTAGGCTGGTAATTGACCCCACGGATAATTGCTTCCCGGTATAATGAAAGCCTGGGAGGAAACTCAAAGTGGTTTTCCTTTATAGATCTGGGTCTCTTCCTCTGGGGAGAAGAGCTGTCCTCCTACAGAGCGTCAGGCCAGTGTGGCTACAAACAGGGATACAGCGTTGACAGTTTGGCAAAAATCTCCTTTGCCTGACCCCTGCTGACTGACCGGCCTCAGCCGTGTGGCTGGAAGGCTGGAATATTCCAGAGGCTTTGCCTTGATACCATATGCAGATTTAGTTTGTTACTAAAGCTGGTTCATCCTCTGAATTTTAGAGAGTGATTCAGAAGAGGAAAATGCATTCTTGTAAAGCAGGGCTCCGTGATCACCATTTTTCAGGCAGACAAGCACAGCGGCTAGGAGAGCTCGGGAGGGGGCCTCACGTGGCTGCTCCCGGAGCGGTGGGATCTCTCAGCACCCAGTGACCAGGTACAGGTGGTCATGCTCACGGTGGGGGCAGCTGGCCTGAGGCCCTGGGAGCCTTGCTGCTTGGAGAAGCCACCTGAGACATCAGGGCTCCCAGAGCACTCCTGAAGAAATGAGAGAAGGCTGCTATCTCTAAGGAAGGCTCTAGGGCAGCCACAGTGCTGCCTTTTTTAAACAAATAGGGCATTGTGATCTAGATTTGCTTAATACCCTGTGGGAGAGAGCCTTCTGGGAAGGTTCCTGCCTCCCTGGGCACGTTGGAGAGGCCTAGGAAGCGTCTGCTGCTTGGGTCCCCTGAGCTCCTGAGTGGAGCTGGGCCTGTAGTGTCAGGGGTCCCGGCACCCCTCTGAGGCCTCACTTCCCAGAGTGGCAGCTTGGACTGAATAAGGTCGAGTGGGTGTTGGGGAAGCTGAGAGGGAGCCGGAGAAGGTGGTGGCCAGCACAGGTGCGGCTGTACCTGTGGGACCTTCACTGAGAGAGGACGCAGGCCTGCGGCTGGCAGGGCCAATGAAGAGCTCAGGCTCCCAGCTCCTCGCTGAGGCTTACTGGCTCCGAGACCTTGGGCAAGTCCTGCACTTCTCTGTGCCTCAGTTTCGTTAAGATGGCTGAATGGGAATACCTTTCGCAGAGGGCCTTTGGAGGATGAAGTGAGTTAATCCATCCCAAAGCACTTAGAATGGTGCTCGGTACACTTGATAAATGCTGGCTTTTATCCTCCTCGTGGACCCCAGGGATTCCCAGAGCCTCAGAACAACCCACTGGGTATGGGGACAATAGACTGGAACTTTTGTTGCTCTTATTTTCATCTCATCCTTTTTTTTTTTTTTTTTTTTTTTTTAAGAATTTATTCACGAGAGACAGAGGGAAAAGCAGGCTCCTCGCAGGGAGCCTGATGTGGGACTCAATCCCTGGACCCGGGATTATGCCCTGAGCTGAAGTCAGACACTCAACCACTGAGCCACCCAGGCATCCCTCATCTCATCCTTTTTGAGAAAAATATTTTATTTATTTGAGAGAGATAGAGTGTCCACAAGCAAGGGGGAGGGGCAGACAGAGGGAGAAGCAGATTCCCCACTGAGCAGGGAGCCCAGCACAAGGCTGGATCCCAGGACCCCCCAGATAACGGACTGAGCCACCCAGGTGCCCTTTGTCTCATCCTTTTTTATGTTGGATTGCTTCCTACTTGGGATAGGCTATACCTCATAGGATATGTACCCCTTTAAATAAGCATGCATATATTTCATGATTATTTTTATCATTTATTATTCAATTACAAAGCCTGTGATTAAACTTTTTACTGATAGGATTTCTGATTTTAAGATGTGAAGGCCAGGAGTCTAAAGGGAGGCCCCTCCGATGTTCCCTGGAAGGTGGTGGTTGGCTCACCCTCCTCATAGGGCTTCCATTCGCTGATTCTGACGCCCGCAGTGGTTTTGGAAAGGACCCTTCCCCACTGCTGCTTGCCGGGTGTGTGTTGGGGTGTGTATGTGTCTCAGAAGCACGTGTGAACCCCCCTGGCCCCGTGCCCGGAGCCCTGAGTCCACCAGGGGTGCCTTCACCCCATCCTGGGCGGGGTGCACCTGCCCCTCTCCACGTGCTCGGGCCCAGGGGTTCCTGGAGGACGTGCAGTGACCCTGTCGCTGTGGGGCTCTATTTTGCAGGAACCAGCTGCTGCACGCTCCCCTGAGGCAGCACCAGGTGAGCTGCTGCGACTGGCTGCTGAAGGTCATCTGCGGCGTGGTGTCCATCCGCACTGTGTATGCCTCGCACAAGCAGGCCAAGGCCTGCCTCATCTCCCGCATCAGCTGCGAGCGCGCCGGTGCTCGCTTCCACACCCGCGGCGTGAACGACGATGGCCACGTGTCCAACTTCGTGGAGACTGAGCAGGTCAGTGCCCAGGCGGGGGTCGGTGGCACCCTGTGGTTCTGAGGGGACACGGCCACCGTGTATGGTGCATTTCTGTTTGGGGCAGAAGAGGCCTAGGCGTATTAGAGGTTGTTTCTGGCGATCGTGGCTCCTTCCTCTGATTGGAAAAACAGTGAATCACTGGGGCTCTGCCTGCAAATGTGGCCTTCAGTTTGCATGGGGTATCTTTCTTGATTCACATTTGCTGGGGCAATACTGACAGCTAAATGGAAGCAGGAATTTTGCCAGGATCATAAAGGGTGGCAGTTGTTTGAGAGCACAGGCAATGGATGAACCAGCAGGGTTGGAAAATCTTCTTAAGACAAAAAGTAGATCAATAAAACAAGGATGAGAGGAGAAACAATTTTTCATTCTAAATCAACCGAAGCCTGTCCTAGCACCTGGGAGTTGAGAATCTGCGTGTTAGGCGGTACTTGCTTTCAGCTTCCATGAATATAACCATCTGCTTAATCTCTCATTGATTTTTTTTCCCCCCTAAATTCTGTTCTCATTTCCAGAAATGCTGTCTTACACTGGTTTTTTCCTCTCCAGGTTGCAAATCTGTAGGATAATGCCACCTTGGAGACTAACAGGTGAAATAAATTATAAGAAAGGCAAGCCCCATGAAAGGCACAGGTGCAGCGTGGCTGTGGGTGTCAGCCTGCAAACAGCCTGTGTTTATTTAGTGGCGAAGTGGCTTTGCATCCTCTCCTTCCTGCAGCTGTGAGAGGTGTTTTTTACCAGGACTTGAGCCAGTTTAATTCAGCACAGATTTGAGCACCTGCTTTCTATGTGTGGGCTGCCACCTGCTTGGGCTTAAGGTGAGAAGGTCCTCTTGGAGTCAGATGCTGAGAGGGAGCACTTTGAAACAGGAGCTTTGAGAGGAGCAGCAGGGGCAGCTTCTTGCCTAGGACTTCTATTCATTCTGTCCACACTCCTGGATATAAATAATATCTGGTGAAAAATGTCAGAGAAAATGTGGCCCCTAGATGGAAGACAGTTTCTTTTTTTCTTGCTCATGTCCGCACGATGAAAAGTACTTTCTTTTGTTCGCATGGCCCGCCAGCATTACCACTGCCCATCCGAATGCTTAGCCTTGTGTTCTGAGCCTTTGAATCAGTGCATTCAACAGATCTTTATTGTGTATCTATCGCCTGCCGTGGGCTGAGTCTTGTGCCAGGAACTGGGGGCCAGAGGTGCAAAGCATATTGGTGCAAATCAAAATACTCAGACCCCTGAACCTGCTAACTGAATCAGATTGAGGAGGTTTTCATCGGCAGCCCTGGAGCTTGGCCCCTGCCTCGCTCTCCATCCGGCCCTCGGGCAGATAGTCCCTTATTTGCTCTTCTTGTTCGGTGTTCCTCAGAATTTTGAGTTTCAATCATTTTTTTTTAAATTGAGGTTTTATCTATTGTATCTTACCAAGTCATCAGAAAAGCACCTGCCCTGCCTATCACTGTAGTTCCTGGGTGATTGGGCATTTTAATGCTGAAATCATAGGCTGCTAGAACAAAGTGCCACCGACGGGGGCTTAAAACAACTAGAGTTTATTGTCTTATGGTGCTGGAGGCCGAAGGTCTGAAATCTGGGTGTTGGCAGGACCATGCTCCCTCTGAGCCTCTAGAGAAGGATCCTTCCTGCCCTTTCCAGTTCTGGCCACCCCCCCTACCTTGTTGCAGCCCTCCCATCTCTGCCTCACCTTCACGTGGTGAGGTGAGGTGTCCTCTCCTCTTTGACTGGAGACCTACCCTCTCCAGTATGTCCCATCTTAACCGGGTCTGCTGTGACTGTCTCCAAATAAGGTCACACTCCCAGGTGCTGGGGATTAGGACGTCAGCATATCTTTCTTGGGGCACACAGTTGAACCCTCTGATAGAGACATCATTCAGTGTTGAAGGACAGTGCTTTAAATGCAGTACATTTAGCTTTATGAAAAATCCTGATACTGCCCTTTCCCATTTTTCTACAGATGAAGCTGGGGACTTTGCTCTGATTATTTCATCTGTGTGTGTGCTTGGTGACTGGCATTTGTCCCACGTGCCCAGTTGCTTGGCCTCTGGGACAGAGACCTTGTTGCCCCGTGGCCAGCCCAGCAAGGCCTTAGAGACACCACTGGCCTGCCCTCTGGCTCTACTTAAATAGCCTCTACCTGCCTTCCTTCTGAGGCCTGGGGAGCGGTTTTTTGGTTCATGAAGCCTGTATGGTCCTCCTAGTTCATGTTTTCTCTCCCTTTCTTCTCTGGCCTCTGGATCAGAGGTTTTCCTGATGAAACCCTTAACCCAACCTTGCTCCAGAAGCAGCAGATGAGCAGGCAGGCAGCCGGGTGTCCTGTCTGCTGTCCGCCCAGAGATGGCAGGCAGCTGTGACCCAACACAGGGCTACTTGAGCCCATGGCAATTTTGTGTTTATGGGACATGTAACAGGGTGGGGGGGCGGGGAGGGGGCATGGTGGCCTTGCACCCAAAGCAGTTCTTTGTGGGGCTACTCCCAATAGCCCTGCATGCTCTCCCGGGTTGATCCATGCCTTCGGGGAACCCTCAGACTGTGACCACCATGGTGTGGGGGCCAGAAGGGGGGGTGGTGGCGAGGAAGGCCCCCACCAGGGGTGGGGAGGAGTCAGTTCCCAGAGCCCACTCCCGCTGTGTTCTCGTTGGCAACAAGAGAGCCAACTTGGAGCCCCTTGGCTGGGTTTGGGTGTCAGCCTGCCCAGTCAGGGAAGCAGCAGGAGCAGGACAGGCAGCTTCAGGATCCTGGGCGCGCTTCCCATAGTCGTGCTCAGCGGCAGGGGGTCCTGCCTGCAGAGAGAGCTGGGAAAGCCCACAGAGCAAGTGAAGGCAGGGTGGCAGACGCAACCAGTGCCAGGCGGGGAAGCCAGGGAGGGAGAGGAAGGCACAGATGCTGTTGATGGGAGCAGTGCCCGCGTATGCCTCCCTAGGAGAGCATCCTGCACAGGACACCCTGACAATCCCCTGGGGAGCCAGCACAGCCCTGATGGTGGTCAGCCGCTTCCCGAAGCCAGCTCCAGGCAGTGTCTACCGCAGGAGCGTCATCCCCTTTTCAGAGGCAGGATGAGCAGCCATGGCCAAAGGAAAGCAGCTGCTCCCCCGGAGAAGCAAGACACTCGTGTTGCTCTCACTTGTACAAAAGAGCCATTTGCTGTCTGCCTCTGCAATCATGGAATGTTTTGTTTACAGCCCTTTTAGCAATAGAAATGCTTAGGTTGCTCTCAGTTGTTTATTTTAACACAATCTTTTCCTAAGTGGAATATATCCTTAACCAGTGTTCCTGCCAAGCACAGCTATGCCTTCTCCCACCAACCCCGGCCCCACCACGACCTGCTGGTGAAAGGACTTTTGGGTTTTGGCGCCTGGGAAGGCTGTCCAGCCTGCAGGCATCTGCTCAGCTCAGGAGCAGCTTGGGAAGGGGAGCACACAGGTACCATTGGGGCAAGCTGCTGTAACCCTGTTGAAGTTGGCCCATTAGGGCCTGCGGTGATCTGATAGGGTTCTGGAAAGCCAGGCACATCCTGCTGCCTTGCATCTGTGGGACAGAGACTGTCTGGGCTGGGTCAGGACAGTGTTACAGGGTACGGTGCACCTCCCCACAGTTGTGGTGTCTTTGCTCATGGTGATGGCAGATTAAACATTGCATCTCCGGGCCTTTGAATCAGAGTGATACAGTAGGCACAATGGGGCTGGTTCTTTCAGGTAGCATGCTGTTGCCTGCTCTGTGACCTGACATTTAAAGAAAGTGGCAGGCTTTGAAACACAGGCCCCTCACCAGGGAGGGGCAGGCAGCGTCTTGGCAGCAATTAGTGTTGAGCGGCGGCAGGAAGGAGCCTTAGCTGGGTCTGCTTGGCTCCTCTTGGAGGTTGCCCATAGGTCACGTCTGGCCTATGCCCCTGCCACGGAAGCGAAGCTCTTCAGACCCAACCCTGTGGCCACGTGGGAGTGGAAATCCTTCACTACATGCACGAAGGTGGCTGATGAGTTGCCACACTCTGCTCCTTTGCAAATGGTGGGACTAGCCAGAGAGCAGACTGGCCCCCGAGGCAGGGCGTCTCTTAAACTAAATGTTCAGGGAGCCAGAAGAGGGAGGTGCTTTCAGCACCACCCACTCTGCCTTACTTTAACATTTTTCCTAAGAGGAATGAACCAGCTTTCTTCTCCAAGGCATGTGTGTGCATGTGTAGTGTATAAGTGTGTGTGTCTGGGGGGCGGGAGGTCATTGTGTGCATGCACAGGTGTGTGCACTTGTGTGGTGTGTGAGTGCCTGTTTGGGTGGTATTTTGTGTGTGTGTGTGTGTATGGTGTGTGTATGGCACATGCATGCGTACAGGTGTGGACCACATCTAAGTCTTCCTGGGAAGAAACTGGGAGTCCTTTCGGCTCTGCTGTGAGTCATACCTGGTGGGATTGCTCGGCAGCTGTGACTCACCATGCAGAAAAACAAAACCAAGAAAGTCCCTTTGGTATACTAAAGAAAAAAAACAGATGAAAAATATTTGGCTTTTGAAGATAAGGCCACTGATTAATCCAGGAAGGTTGGGATGACTGTGTGTCCTCCAAAGAATGCAGCAAACTTGGAGAGCACTGGTTTGCAAATATCTCACCTGGAAATGGAAGTTGAGCAAAAGCCTTTCAGATAAAGGAGCATCTGCAATGAGCATCAGTCCTTTCTCTTGAGGATTGTTGGGTTTCTGCTCCTACCACTCCATCAAAGGGTCACTCAGAATTGCCAAGACCAAGTGTCCTGGGCCTGCCCTGGTGTGGCCCTGGCCACTGCTCAGCTATGGTCGACTCCCTACCACCACTTGTGTGCCTTCATTCTGCTCCCCACAGCGTAAGCCCTGCTCACCACCACCACCCCACCCCACCCCTTCCGTGCTCTGCCCCCTGCCTGGTCCGTCAGTCTTCTGCAGGGGTCTCATCTGTACTCCTGGGCGGTGCTCTCCTGGCCTGCAGAGCAATGAGCCACTGCCCTGGATCACATTCCCTCATTACTCATTTACTCCTCCCTCGGACCAGGTGACAGTAACTCTGTCGAGAGAGGGAAACTGAGGCCAGAAGTGGCTAAAGAATGCGTCTAGGGTCACCCTACAGGGCATGTGGGAGCTGGCAGGTGTCTCAGAGTGCATGTGCTGACCGACTTTCCTATTGCACCCTCCTCTCCTCCCCCTGGGATCTAGAGGCCCTCTGTGAAAATCACATCTATGAGATAGGCATCAAGCCTGTCAGCAGTACTAAAACCTATGTTCTTGGGATCCCTGGGTGGCGCAGCAGTTTGGCGCCTGTCTTTGGCCTGGGGCGCGATCCTGGAGACCCGGGATCAGATCCCACGTCAGGCTCCCGGTGCATGGAGCCTGCTTCTCCCTCTGCCTGTGTCTCTGCCTCTCTCTCTCTCTCTCTCTCTCTCTCTGTGACTATCATAAGTAAATTAAATAAAAAAAAAAACCTATGTTCTTTTAGCTCAGAAAGGAAAGCACCCCAAATCCACCACTGGTGATTGGTCAGCCTTGTCTTGTTACTATGGCAATGGAGAAGGTGGTCCTGATGGTGAATGGGACACAACTGGAATATCTTCATGCCAGGAGAACTTCAGAAGCCTCATTTCTTCCTGTTCTGGGGTGGGGTCTGGAGGGTGGGTGGCTGGGTGGGTGTTTTCTCAAGCTGGTTCTGTCTATGCCAAGTTAACGGCTCAAGAGGAGTGTGATCTAATGCTGGAAATAGCTTGTTTAGCACGTGTTAAAGTGAAGGGTAATAGTTTCATGGCTTAAATCAGGTCCTGGCACTGTTAGGGCTGTCCTTATAGAGAAATGTTAGCTAAATTGGTTTCTTTCTCAGTAATCTGAACCTGTATTCTCTCTCTCTCTCTAAGATTTTATCTATTTATTGACAGAGGCAGAGAGATAGCATAAGCAGAGGGAGAAGCAGGCTCCCTGCTGAGCAAGGAGCCTGATGTGGGGCTTGATCCCAGGACCTTGAGATCATGACCCGAGGCCAAGGCAGACACTTAACCAACTGAACCATCCAGGTGCCCCTGGACCTGTATGCTCTTAATCTCGCTGTAGGGAGTGATGCCTCCATTGGTTTAAGCAATCTGCTTTCTTCTGTTTTTGTTTCTTTGTTTTTTTCCAGTAGAAAATAGGGGTAGCAAATTTGCTGGTAGTTCATATCTGGAAACAGACAAGTTCCTAATCCAGTGCTTTTCCCAGAGAGGAGTTCAGCTCAACTACAAGAGCTACCAGGCTCCCATAATTCCTGCTGTCCCAGGGTGCTGTGGGTCTGACGCTCAGGTCCTCTGCTGCAGAATTACTAATGCATGTGTGATCTGAGCGTGATCTAGCCGCATGGAAAGCTACCCTGTAAGGGAGCAGGCTGGTAAGAAATGGAAAGGATCAGCAGCGTTGCCCAGGTTGGCCCTGCCAGGCCAGAGTAGAATTACTCAGATAAAGGACAGTGCATCTGATAATTGCCACAGCCTCCCCCTGTGATGCTCAGGACTGCAAAAGTCTCAGGACTTTTGTCCCCTTAACACTCTCTTGCACTACAGTGTTGGGGGGTGGGGTGGGGCATCTGCAGGCAGATGAGCTGGTTCGCTCTGAAGTAACCTTGCGTGCAGCGGGTAAGTATGCTCTGCTTCCAAGCTGGTGCTCCCATCCTGGAAGCATGTGGAAGCTGTGCTGTGTGTGTTGACTTCGTGGCAGGTTGGAGAACATGGGCCAGGAGCAACTACCAGTTGCTTGTGTCTTGACTTGTGTCATCCATACGGTGTCAGTGATGAGCGGGGCCACCTCAGTCCTTTGGCAGTAGCTTATTCATTTCACCCATCCTTTTCCAGGGGCGCTCTGCTCCTTACCTAGTTGACCAGGTGAAAATAGCGGGCTCTAAGGAAAGTCTTAGTTCAACTCCAGAGCACATTTGCTTCTGTTCCTGAAATGGGGTGCGGGGAGGCATTGCCAGGCTTTCCGGGGAGCTGGGTAAGGCTGTGTTTATTGGTGGCAAGTGGTGGCACATCCCGAGGAGGCCTGGGGCCCGCTCCAGACTCGGCCGAGGCTGGTCAGCCGCCAGCATGCCCGTGAGCACACGGGGCTGGCCTGCGGGTCAGGCGACAGGAGGCCACACCGGCCAGGGGAGTGGGCGCGCAGCAGGCCGCTGTCTGCCCTTCATTCTGGCCGGTGTCGGGTCTCAGGCGGCCGGATCCCATTACCCGGCCCCAGAACATTCAGTCTCATTGAGGAATACTTTCCCTTTCTGTTCCCTTGTGGTGCAGACGATTTACATGGATGATGGAGTGTCCTCTTTTGTCCAGATCAGAGGCTCCGTTCCGCTGTTTTGGGAGCAGCCAGGGCTTCAGGTAAGTGATGAAAAAAGTAAGTCACCTGCCTTTCTCTTCTGAACAACTCTGGGTAGTGTCTTTTAACTGCATTTCCTTTGGTTTCCAGGCTTGTTCCTCAGGCCAGGTGGAGCTGAGCTGAGCTCTCCAAAGTATACACACCTGTGTGTGCATGTGCGTGGGGTTTTATACAGAAACGTATACATCTATGCAATTTTCTGATCCTGGGCTTGCTGTTGATGCAGGCCAAGTGGGAAGGAAGGTCTTTGCTGATAAGCGAGCCACGTAATGTAATTGAGTTGAATTAATTTCATTAGCTGCTCCCCCCCCCCAAGTTTGGTATATTTGAGAACATGGCCAAAGGTGTTTTTTGAAAGCTATGACTGTCCTACGGGGCTTTGAATGGTTTCCGGGCCCCAGTGGCCGTGCAGCGGGTCCGATGTTCCGAGGTGCCTGTTTGGGGGCCACGTGAGAATTGCACGGAACTTTCCCATGCGTTCTAAAAATACACCTTGCCGTCTAAAACAGGGCTCTGGTCAGTGCCAGAGTATGCGGCCTTCTGTCTCGGGGAGAGTTCAGGGTGTGGTGCCACGTTCCAAGAACACATTTGTCATCAGTGGAATGGTGCCCTGCCTCGTTCGTGAGTTCCTTCCCCAGAGGTCATGGGTCGAGCGGGTCTGAGGTTCCTCAGCATCGACCCCAGATCTTCCTGTCTGGCCTGAGCAGTTGATCATCTGTGGGCTCAGAAGACCTCTCTGCCCGGGCCTCTGTGTTTCGGCTCCTCTTACCGAGGACTCTGTGTGACAGCAGTTGGGGTGTCAGCGGTGCCTCAAGAGGCTCAGAGCCATCTGCCAGGTTCTTGGGGGTGTTTGACACCACTGGGTCTTTCCCCGGCCCTTGACTTGACCCCGTGTCAGTCAGGAAAAGGCAGTTTGTCCATGTGGCTGTCACTGTGCAGTTGACAGCCTCAGTGAGGAACTGCGTCAGCTCTTGGAGTGAGGAGGAGGCAAGAGAGTCTCATGTGGGGTCTGACTTCTGGGGAGGGAGAAGCTTTCTTAGCATTCAGTCTTCCCATCGGAAAGGAACAAGTAAGATATATGAGGATGGCTGGTGGCATGAAGTGGTGGCACAGAGAGCTGTCCTGAGGATGAGCAGGATGAGGAAGATGACTCTGGAGCTCATCCCAAAAGAATTTTGTTTATTTTTATTTTTTTAATGGCTTTGTTGTGATACAACTTACATACCATAAACTGCACCCATTTAAAGCATACGATTTGCTGGTTTCTAGTGCATTTACAGAGTCATGTGACCATCACCATGGTATAATTTTAGAGGACTCACCACATCTAAGAACCCCATCCCCGTGGCCATCACCCCTCCCCGTTCCCTCACAGCTCTCCCTGAGGCCCAAGTAACTGTTCTTCTACTTTGGGTCTCTATAGGTTTGCCCATTTGGGGCATTCTAAAAGGGTTTTGAAACTGGATTTCCTTTAGAGTTGCAGTTTTCCTTCTGAAACTTCTGGAGCTCTGTATTTAGAAGAATAAACAGCAAACCTCAAATGAGGTGGGGGTTAAAAAGGAAGCAGGAGACCATGTTATGTTTCATGTGAAGGTTTTAAAAAATCCAGAAATTGGGTAAGGTCGCGATAGTCTTGGAATTCGGGAAGGAGCTTTGGAAACTCATCCCCTTCGCCCCTGCATCCAGTTCTGGATCCTACTGACCTCTGACGCTGACCCTGAGGCCAGGACTTGGGATGGCTGCGATTAGCAGTGGGCTGCTCCTTGCCTCGCATGCTGCCTGTCTGCAGGGCATTGTGGGGGATGCTCCACAGTGAGTCTGATTCCCCAGACTCTTGAGGAGATTCTCACTCTCTCCATTGTGTCTTGTCCGAGGCCTTCCAGCTCTTTGGTGTCTTCTATTCCATTTCTAGAACTCTCCAGGTTCTGGTCTCCCTTTTCCCCAAACAAAGCAAAACTTATATGTCATTCCCCTCTTGAATTTTGGCCCCTGACTCGACTCCCTTGATGCAGCCTGACCTTGCCATGAACAGCTGTCCCTCACCTTGACATGGGCAGTCTCAGTGGGGCCTGGGTGGCTCACTTCTTGGCAGCTCTGGCGCCTTTTAGATTCATGACACTTGTGCTTCTCCGGAGCTTCCATGGTTTCTTCAAAATAAGTTTCAAAATGCTTGAGTTCATTAATCTTATTAAGGATTTGCTAACCTTTGGGTCTGATACCCGTGTTTGTCCTCTCCAACCATCCACCATCAAAGAGAGATTAAGTCATCTTCACAGGGGACCAGAAGGGCAGCTTTCAGTGATGATCTATCAATGGCAAGCCTGAGGATTGATTCCACTTGTTCTTCTCCATTAAGAACTTTCTCCCCTCCTTCTTTACTTAGGCTGGATGAAAAATGCAAAGATTTTTGGACAGATAGCTTGCATTTTAAGTTGCAGTGATGCAACACCTCCAGGGCTCTCCCTGGGAACTGACGAGCCCTGCCAGGGATAGAGTGTCAGGGTGGGGTCAGGCAGAGAGGACTTGGGGTGGTGATTTGTTTGCACATTTTCACAGTGGTGAAAACTGGTGCCTTCCTTACAAATGCCCGGATCCTGATGCCATTCCTAGCAACCATGTACCTTTAGCAATTTCATCTTTACCATGTAAATAGGCTTGTGGTTTATAAATAGCCACCCTGGAATTTTACCCTTAAAGCTAATTGTTCTCCTGGTATGGTTAGGGGGTATATTTTTTATGTACTCTTAGTCTGCTGAAGATTTTGCTCCCCTGTCACTTCAGAATCTTCCTCCCCTGTAACATACGCATAGGGACATGTCTTGCAAAAATGAATTGGGTCTCTGTTTTGAAGCTTCATATGACATCAGCAGCTGGAGGAGGATGCAAAGTAGATTCGTCTCCTCTGCTGTTCCCACCTTGCCTACGTTCGCCTCCGCCCTGTCACACCCTGTTTACTAGACTCTTGGGTACATGGCACTGTATGTGCTCATTTGTGTGGCTGTACTTTTCTTTTTTGTCCCCTAAAGGATGTGAGATGGCTTGTAGCACAACAGTTTCAAAAATAAGACGTTGGGGTGAGGGAAAGATACTTTTATTGCAAACGAACTGAATTCAGGATAGAGTTGCACACGCACTATGGGGCCCCAACTCTTTGGTGCTCGCACGCAGCTCCTGTGTTTACAGGCAACCATCACCAAAAGAACCAAGGTCGCAAAGTAGCTTATCCTATGGTTCAGAGCGTAAACTTTGCAGTTATAAGATCTGGTCCCAGTTCAAGTTCTGGCTCCCGAAATAGGGACCATAGTCTTTCAACAAGTTCTTATCTTAGAAAAAGATTCTTATCTCAAAGAGAAAAAAGAACCCTGAGACATTCCCATCTTTGCTGAGCCTTAGTTTACTCTTCTGTAAGTGGGGGTGACAATAGACCTCCTGGGCTTACGGAGAGGATTAGCTGTCACAGCACATAGTAGAATTCAGCACAGTATCCAGAACCCAGAGAGCACACAAGTGGTAGCTGTTAATGTTAGTAAAGTGAATGATCACGTCGAGGTTGTGTTGGGAGAGCATGGCTCTTTGCACCTGGAGAGCAGAGTAAGGGCTTCCCCCTACCTCCCATGTGCGAAGTGGGGACTGTGCCCACATTATCTCTCTATCAAGAGGACACAAGGACCAGGCTCCCAGGTGTCGTATCACCCCACCCTCAGAGCAAGCCATTTGTTCATCCCACAGACACTCACTGAGTATCTGTGGGCACCTGGGGGCACTTTAGGTCCTACCCCCGGCCTCAAGGAGGAGGTGTGGTGTGAGAAGCACCTATGAAAGAGGAGGCCGAGATCCCTGAAGCAACTGAGGGGGGGTGGGTGTCTGAACCAACTCGGGTGGGATGGGGGCCGCATTGCCCAGATGAGGAAGACAACCCTGCAGAGGGGACCACACAGGCAGGTGTGGTGGTCTCTGCAATCACAGCATGTTCAGGGAGCTGCAAGGCTTGCTGCTCACACCTCGAGGCATGGGGGCCATGGCCACACATCAGACCAGAAAGGCCGGCAAGGGCCAGATCAAGACGGGCCTCATTCGTTACACTAGAGACTTCATGTTTTACTCCAGGAGCTGCTAAAGGGAGGGAGCACCCCAAAACAGCTGCACCAGGTAGCTTATAAAACACCTGATACCCAGGGTCACATGCTATCCCAATGAAATCACAGCATCTAGTCATCTGTGCCTGCAACTTCTTCCTGTTTATAGAAGAACCTTTGGGTTATGATTTGGGGAGAGGCAGACATGTCCTGTAACAGAACCTGTCACAACTAAACACCAGGCTCCTGAGCCCTGAACCATTGTTCTTCTGCTCTCCCCTTACTGCCTTCCCTTGGGAAGGATTCTGAAAACAGCTGCAGTTTATCCAGTGAAGATTTCTTGCCCCGATGGACAAACTCACACACAGCAAGCAGCCCCTTCTCTTGGGCTTCAGCCCCCAGGGATCTCACCAACGGGGGCTCAGAGGAACATGGGCTCGCTTTCCACCAGCACCTGCCTTCTAGAACCAGAAGACAGGAGCTGACTGGCGTTGGGGTGCAGAATAGAGCAGTCTTCTTAGAGCACCTAAAATAGTGCACGTTTTAGGAATTAAGGATCACATTTCCTCAGCCAGGTATTGATGCTGCTGGGAAAAGGAGCACAGAATAAACACAGCAGCAAAATGAAAGCGATTGGTTGAGGCTCTCCTAAGAACGCCCAAGGTTTCTTAGGACCAAAAGGGACTTGGGGCTTTATTTGTAGAATCATTTCAACAGACATGCCTAATCCTAGTGATTTCTAAATCTGTTACTGAGAAGCCAGTGGTCTAGAGTGGCTCTTCCCTCATATATGAAGATGAACAGATGTATTACCTGTGGTGGGGAGACTTAGAAATAGCACTTGGTCCATACTCAACAGTGAGCGTCTGATGGTGCGGACGAGTCTAATGACACCACCATTATACTCAATAACCAGCAAAGCTGAACATTATACTCCAAAAAACTTTCTATCATAATTCCAGACCTACAGAAACGTTGTAGGAACAGTAGAGAGAGCTCCCATGTGTCCTGTCCCCAGATTCACTCAATGTTAATTAACCTCTTGCTGACTACACACCTGCCATCTGCTATTTGCCAAACCACCGGATCGTAGGTTGCATACATCACATCTCCTTAACTTAATACGTCAGCACGTTCTTCCTGAAAGCAAACCTGTTCTCGTGCATCAGCACAGGATGGGTACACGTTCAGCAGGTGTAACAGTGATACAGTGCTCTAAACTGACCTGCAGGCCACATTTCAGTTTTATCAACTGTCCCCATAGTGTCCACCATGGTGTCTTTATGCCTTCAGTCAGGGGTCCAGGCCAGGACCCTGTCCTGCATTTCATTGTCATGTGTCTAGTCTCCTTTGATCTGGAACAGTTCCTCTGCCCCTGTCCCTTGGACATTGACATTTTTGGAGAAGGCAGACTTTCTTTAAATTGAAGGTGCCATGTGGGGGTTTCCAGGTGTTTCATTATGATCAGGTTCAGGATGTGGATCCCTGACACCACCACATCCTTGTCAGAGCGTCCCAACTGGAAGCCCACGGTGTCCATGTGCCCCCTCATCAGTGAGGTTGATTTCCATCGCTCGGGCACAATGCTACTCCATTTCTTCACTCATCGTGAATAGGTCTTCCTTTTCAAATAATAAGCATCTATGAGCAGACTCAGACCATGCTAGTGTCCTGTTCCTCATCAAACTCTCTAACATTTACTATTAACAAGTGATTTTTGCTGAACCATTCTTTGCTGTGATGGTTGTAAAATGGTGATTTTTCCCACCACTCTCTCCACATTTATCAGTTGGTATTCTAAGGAAGAGCCCTCTCTCCTCCCCCATCCACCTGCCCACCTCTCTGCTCATCTGTCCACTCATCCACTCGGCCATCTGTATAGGTTTATGAATTCCTATTTTATTCATCAGACTATAAGGCAATACTGTGTTCACAGGTTTGTTCAGAGAGAGCCTTTTCAAGCTGGCCGCAATAACAACATGCCGCATTAAGTTTGTTTTTTAAACTTTCAGTGTTAAATAGGTAATTATAAATCATAAGGCAAATTAGTTTGCAGGTAGTGATAACTCAGATTTTAGGGGTGGTCGAGGTCCCCAGACTTGCAGAGGAGGCTGCGACGTGGTGTCTCTCTCCTGGTTGGCTTACCTTCCCCTCTGCACTGTGGAAAGGTCTGCAGATCTGACGTGGGCCTCATGGGCTGATCCTGAGATTCCTCTTCTGCCTTTGGAAGGATTCCATCCAGTGCCGGGTCCATGCTGCAGTTAGGACCAGCTGCAGCACAGCCAGACGAGGGGTGAGAGGCTGCTGCGTGCAGCCTGGATGGCAGCGAGGGGGTCGGGGAAGGACTTCCTGGGTTCACAGAGCAAGGGGAATCACTAGTGTTTTTTCTCTTTACTTTAGGTTGGCTCTCATCATCTGAGACTCAACAGAGGCCTAGAAGCCAATGCCCCTGCTTTTGACAGGTAGGGTTGTCTGTGTCCTAAGCCTGTCATCCTTTTGGAGAGTCTTCCCCCCACCCTGCCATGAGATGGCACCACAGGGGACAGCGGGAGGGCCCCAAACCCTGGACGTGTGTCTCCCTTTTAGTTTGGTTCTTTGGGCAAGAGGAGGGGAGTTTACAAAATGGGATTTTTAGTGGCTCTTAGATTTTCCTGAAAATTCATGAAGACTGAGGTAGCCCTTGGCAATTATTTTATCTTACTACTTCCTTTTTTAATAAAGCTTTATCCATTTGTCCTAGTTAACAAGGGATAACCTAAATCATAGGATATTTCTGGCTGCTTTTCTTTTAAAAGTAATACATTCCCATACTTAAAAAGTCATAGTAGAAAGGTATAAAGTGAGAAGTAAAAGTGCTGTTGTCTTTCCAATTCCCGCTACTAAAGATTTGGCTATTAATTTTTTATGTGTCATTCTAGAAAACCATTTGGCAGATCTGTAGCTCATTTTTTTTGTTTTGTTTTTTGTTTTGTTTTGTTTTTTGTAGTTCATTTTTTGAACCACAGACTGACCATTACACATTTCCTGTTACAGAACTTTTTTAAAAGCCATCACTGACCTAAACAGTAACTTGTATTTGAAATAGTTAATTGCCTCTTAAAATATTTGGATTTTTAATCTAAGTACTAATTTTAAAAATTAGTGAATGTTGTCAAAATTCCAAGAGTGATTCTTTTTTAAGCGTATTAAACATTCTACCCGAAGCTTGATTTGGATGTTAAATCTGCATGCATCGTTGTTGTTTACCACAGACTGGTGACAGCAGCCCGACCGTGACCGCTAATGAGCTCATGATGACTAGTGGGCTGTCACTCTGGAGAGAAGTGTAATGTGCAGATAAAAATGCTCTTCCCTGTTTTCAGAACGCTGTTAGTGTGTCCTGCGTGTTGTGTAGATGGATTCGTCTTTTGGATATGCTGATCTGCATTACATATTCCTAGGAAATTGAAAACAAATTCCTCCCCAGCTGACCACAAGTAGAAGGGAAAGGACATGCCTGCTGGGCTTGTTTCAAAGGCCTTGTGTTGATGAGCTTTTAAAATATATGTATATACATATAAAATATATATACATGTGTATATATATATATATTTTAGCATGTTTACGCTGACTTAAACATTTTTAAATCCTGTTAGTGCGTGGTGTGTGCACTGAGGATGAGCCCTCTCTTTTCTCACAGGAGTGTTCAAGACCATGAGCCCGTTGACAGGCCGCTGCCACTGGAAATGTGGCTCCCTGCACGCTCCCTTCCTCAAGCAGCCTCGCTGGGAGGCAGCTGAGATCCATGTGCCCTCACAGGCCCAGGGTAGGAGCTGCCTGGCTACATGTTGGGTGATGCTCCGATGCACTCATTTCAGTGACATGTAGGAGCAAGGGCACATGATTGTCCAGCAGACCCACCGCAGGGGGCACTGGGGATCCTGAGGAGCAGGGCTGTAGGCCCCCAGAGGGGTGCCCCCCATCTCTGGCATATCATGGGGCTCTCAGGAATTTCTCCAGTCTTTGATGTGTTTAGTCCAGAGTCAATCCCTTAACCATCCCCCCTAACCCACCCCCACAAAACCCCTTTTCCTGGGTTGTTTGAGTACAACAACCTGTGACCAATGCTGAGCTGTTCCGTGGGTTGTTCACTGTTACCACTTGGGCACCTCCTGTCTGGGGGAAGGGTGGGGGAACATTGAGCAGCCCTTTGGCTGTGCTGGCCTGAGGAGGATCTCATTTCCCTGGTAGAGTTTGAATGGAGGTATTAACCCTTTATGGAAGTGGTGCCGGGGTCTCACCTATGCAGGATGCTGGGCCCCCGCTCCTTCTTCCCTCTCTGTGTGGAGCTACTTGCCATCTGCAGTCCCAGGGCAGACACCAGAGTGTGTTTCCCTGCTGGCCACTCAGTTGTGCCCTTCCTACCTGACTTCTGGTATCCTGAAAAGCCCCCTAGTTCTCCAAGGAGCTCCACACAACAGTCCCCAGGTGGGCGGGCAGGGGAAGGACCCTGGGTGCCCAGAGTAGGGAGGCCGGGCTGAGTCTCACTGGCCTCCATGTGGGCTCCAGTGCTCCCCCTGGGAGCCCTGAGGTGAGTTGTAGTGTATTGCTAATAGGTGTATTATTTTAAAATTAAAAGAAAGGAAAGGAGGGCACCTGAGTGGCTCAATGGGTGGAACATCTGCCTTCGGCTCAGGTCATGATCCCAGAGTTCTGGGATCGAGTCCTGCATCAGGCTTCCTGCTCAACAGGGAGTCTGCTTCTCCCTCTCCTTCTCCCTCTCTCTTTGTGTGCTTGTGCTCTCGCACATGTGCATTCTCTCTCTCTCTCTCCCTCCCCCCCCTCAAATAAATACATCTCTTACAATTTTTTTTTTTTTTTTAAAGAAGGAAAGGAAAACCAGCTCTCACGTGCCAGGCACTAAGCTGTCACTTTTATTTGTCTTGTTTAGTCTTCAAAACCATCTTTTCCAGGAGGAGGATTAGCTTTGTGGTACAGATAAAGGAATAGCTCAGAGGGGAGGAATAATTTGATCTAAGATGCTTGGGGCTGGTATGATGAGCGATACTGTTTCTCTTCCACCTCTGGGTTTGGAACCAGTTGAGACAACAGGCGCAGCATTGGCTGCCTCGGGGTCACATATCAGCCTTATTTCTGATAAATTGCATTGTGGGAGGGGGCCTGCATGTGGGCCACAGTGGCTTCCTCGCATTTCACTCCTAGATCACAGATGCTCGTTCAGTGGCTAACAGAGCTGGGAAGCTCAGACTTGCCACCAGGGCAAAGCCTGCCCTTTGGCTCCATGCATTTGACCTCTAGCCAGGACACACCTCTCGGGGCAGACGCAGAAGAGCCCAGAGGGGCTGAGTCATTCATGCACACTCCATTTCTTCTCATACCTTCACCCAGATTGCATGGATCTGATTGAACTCTACCTCTTCCCAGGGTGGGGACACCTCAGGGAGGGTGGGGCTGTCAGGAGCATCCCTAGAAAATTATGCCAAGTAGAGATAGGAGCCCACCCTTAACAAGTCAGCAGAGGACTAAACAAACTACCCCCAACCACAGTTGGTGAGAGAATAACCTTTCCTTTATTGGGCTAAAATTGGTTCTAATTAACTTAACATTTTGTGTATGAAAGAAACCTGTCATCCTAGAAATTTGGAAAGTACAAAAATGTACTTTTGTACATTTGTACAACAAATTTTAAGTCACATAAAATTCCACCACTTTTGGGAATCCCTGGATGGCTCAGCGGTTTAGCACCTGCCTTCAGCCCAGGGTGTGATCCTGGAGACCCGGGACCGAGTCCCACGTCGGGCTCCCTGCATGGAGCCTGCTTCTCCCTCTGCCTGTGTCGCTGCCTCTTTCTCTCTGTGTGTCTCTCATGAATAAATAAATAATAAAATCTTTAAAAAAAAAAACCTCCACCACTTTTAATATAGTGGCACACCATCTTCTAGTCTTTTTTTTCTATCTTTTCTATAAACATTGCACGATGAAAATATGGTTTTCATCTGCTTTTTGCATGGTGTTTTCCCTGTGTTTTTTAAAATTATATTTAAGCATTCCTCCTATTAAGATTGTAAGGTTAACTTTTCAAAAGCTAGTGCTAAGGCATAAATATTAGGCTCTCCATAATATTTCAACTTCTGTATTTTTAAAATTTTTTTCATTTATTTATTTGAGAGCGAGTGTGCACAGGGGGAGGAGCAGAAGGAGGGGAAAGACTCTTCAGCAGACTCTGGTGCTCAGCACAGAGCCCCGTGTGGGGCTTGATTTCACAACCTTGAGACGGTAACCTGAGCCAAAACCAAATGAGCCACCCAGGTGCCCCACAACAAATGTATTTTTAAAAATCTCTGATCTAGGGCTATTTTCCTAAAGCCTGAAATTTTACTGTGCCTTCTTGTTTGGGTTACACGTAATGAAATATAGCACTTAGATAAAAGTTAGACGTGGAGGTTAACAGACCTCCTACCAGCTTTTCTAGCTTAGAGAAGGAAGATACCAAGTGAAATTAGAGATTAAGTTCAGAAATGTGCACGTCTTACTTCTAGGGTTCAGTTAATAAAAGGCTGAGTTAGCTGTTCTAGATTTAATAGTGGTACTTGACAGAAAGTCCGGCATATCTTTCCTCTGATGTTATGCCTCCGTAGAAGTCTGAGATGCTGTGACTTATTCTTGGCCTGGGTCTTGCATGCAAGTAGGCTGTTGACATGCTTGTCCCTGACAGTGGGGTTGATGGCAAGGAGAGACTGGTTCTCTGCTCATCCCCGCAATTCCCCATTTTGGGTCCTGGGAAACAGCGCCTCCCAACCCTCTAGTGCCAAACAGGTGCCTCTTGCACCCCGTCCCCTCTACAGTGGGGCTGTCAGCCTGTGTCCAGGTGACCTGGGCTCATGGTGCTGCCCTGTTCCAACTGCAGACACATGGTGCTTCTGAAGGAGCAGTATGGGAAGCAAGTGGTCGTAAACCTGCTGGGGAGCAGAGGTGGAGAAGAGGTGCTCAACAGAGCCTTCAAGGTAAACGCCGTGCTGCTTCTTGGCGCCCGGGGTGGAGGGGCAGTGGGTGAGGGAGGTGAGGGCCCCGCTCAGAGGCAGGCTTCTGTGCTGGACTGGGAACAGCAGTGCTCTCCCCATGTTTGGGGAGGCTTTTTTTTTGTTTTTTTGTTTTTTTCCCACCAGCTCTGTAGCATGAGGTGATTTGGACTCCTGATCTATGAAATTTAATTTTTATGAACTGATGGTTTGGGAATTTGCTCAAAGTCAAAACAAAGCATCTCCCTTCTCCGGCTGCATTTCCTCCGGGGCTCCCACTGGAGCTTTGAGGGCTTAGGTTAGCCAGGCCTCTTTCCCATTCTCTGGGACACACGTGCACGCACGCACCCCTACCACCACCACCTTGCACACATGTGGGCTTCGCCCTGCTGCCCCTCACTGCTCTGGGAGCCTGAGCTCCCCCTTCCTTCTTTGGTCTGGCTCTGCTGCAGGCCAGGGCCTCCTGGCAAGCTCACCCAAACACCTGCAGGGCACCTGGCATGGAGCAGTTGTTCAGAGCTCCTGCTGGAGTTAAAGCAAGGAATCTTACATGATTTCCTCCTGCTAATAACTTTAACCTTCAAATCTTCTGTCCCCTTCTGGGCTGTCCCTGAAAGCTGCTTCCTTTGCCCGGCTCCTCTGGGTACTTTCAGGGGTAGGAGCAGGGGGGCCTGAGCAGGGAAGGAACAGGTAGAAGGAATGGCTCCACCTACCTCGCCCCACCTTGCCCAGGGCCTCTCCCTGTTCCCAGAGTCCCAAGTATATTCAGTCCACTAGGTGAAGAAAGCTCCAGAATGAGCTGTGGGCGATGACCACGTTCCTATCCTAGTGGCCCATGTCTCCCATGGGAAGTGAAGAAAAGCCCTCTGGTTGTTCCAAGGTCACAGAAGCCCCTTATGGGGAGAGTGAAACCAGACTTCACCTCATGGGAAGCAGCGTTTGCTGCCTTCCTGACTCCTGACCTCTGGCTGGTAGGAGCCGAGCCCAGTGGGTGCTCCTTTCCCTCTGCTCAGAAAAGCCATGTGCTCAGAGCAGACTTCCTGGTGGCCAATTTCATTTGGCCAGACCTGCTTTTCCTGTTTGGTTTGTTGCTGTTGGCAACAGCTTGCTGAGTATCTCCCCACCCAACCATCTTGGCAGCAACGTTGACAGCTTATTTTAAGGAAAAAGAAGGAAAAAAAAAAAGAACAGAATCTCTTTTCCCTTGATATCTTGAGTTATGGAGAGGGGATCCCCTCAGGTCCCCATCATCTGGAGGAAGTGATGGGCTCTTTTGTCACTCGTGGGGCAGGAGGCAGCAGTGGTCCTGTGGCCCAGGTGGAGGGGGGGCAGGTAGGAGAGGGGAAGGGATGCCACTGGAGGAGACCTGCCGGTGCCACACCAAGCTGCGGTTCTGTCAGCCCTGAAGTCCGGGCACCAGCAGCCAGCCTGCAATCATCAGGCCACAATGGGACAGGGTGCTCACTCGAAAATGTAAAGTCACCAAGAAGTACACAGGTCAGTTCAGCTGACTTTTTTTTCATAGCGAGACCTTCCTGATGGTCACAGCCACGCTCTGCCTGGCATTCTGGCTACAGCGCTGGGCACTTTGAATTGGAGGGACTAGAAGGCCTGAAGCCCTTCTAATCTTTCAAGGTCATCAGACTCTCTGGACAAGTCTAAGCTGAAGCTACACAGGAGGGTCCAGGGTGGGGCGGGTCTGAGCCCGGGTGCCCTGGGGAGGCAGCTGGTTCATCTACCACAGGGCTCTCAAGAAAGCTGAGTTGTTGCCTGGGAGGTTCCTCACGTGGGAGGAAGGCAAAGCCTCTGTCAGGAGCACTGAGCTGCCTGGGGCCCACCTATTCACCTCCATCTCTGGCCTTGCCTCCCCTCTAGGTCCTGTGCTAGCCTGGGCCCACCGACCCTGACCATTTGTCACCCCATCCTAAAGTCTCATGGGACCATGCCTCTGGCACTCCCCCTCACAGGGACCTTGATGCAAGAATTGGGCACCATTGAGCACACACCCCCTGGGGCTTGCGCTTGTCAGGATGGGACTGGTTACCTGGGCAACAGGGAGCTGGATTATGAGCTCCACAGCCTGCTGGGCTGCGCTGTCCCTGATGGGCCCAGGGCACTTGCGTGCCTACAGGATAGCGTGGTCCTCCCCTCATGAGTGCCCTCCCAAGGGCCCTGCAGTGGGGGATGTCCATTCAGGGCTGTGAGCCAGGGGGCTGAACCTCCGGCTGTCCTTTGCCCAGGGAGGCCCTTCTGCCCTGCTGCAGGCAAGATGCTCTTTGCAGCCTCATCTGCAAGTCTTTGTTCTTCCCTTTCAGGGTCGGGACTGATAAACAGCTTGGTCCACCACTTGCCTTAAAATAAACTGTGGGCTCTAGCGAGTGCCTGGGGTAGCCTCACAGATTCCAGCCTGTGAGGCTTGTGGTCCCTTGCTCCCCTGCCACTCTCTCCCTTTCCACTTTCAGAAATTGCTCTGGGCTTCTTGCCACGCCAGCGACACACCTATGATAAACTTTGACTTCCATCAGCTGGCCAAAGGTGGGAAGCTAGAGAAATTGGAGAATTTGTTGAGGCCCCAGTTGAAGCTCCACTGGGATGACTTTGACGTGTTCACCAAGGGCGAGAATGTAAGTCCACGGTGAGTCTCCACCTGCGTCCTCGTCCTCCTGCTGGGTGACTGGCGGAACAGCCAGGGGACCTCCCAACAAGTGCAGTTTCCTGTACCACAGGCTCAGGGATGGGGGGGACCCCAGGTTCCAGCCTTCTTCCCCTCTCCACCTTCAGAATGTGCTTTTGAATTTTGTGAGTAGATGGCAAAACCTGGTTTTCTGGCAAAATAAATTATAAATAAAGGGACTTGGTTAAAACATGGAGCTATGGTGGCCATAGAATTCATTGTTCAAACTGATGAAAGCCCATGAGAGTGAAGAGGAACATCTAACATCAGCCCCATTGCCAGGAGGGCATGGGGTATAGATTTTCCTGCTCAGAGCTGAGCAAAAAAAAGGAAGCCTACCTTCCTCAAATCACAATGCAGTCAGTCCTCTGCATTCACAGATTCTGTATTTGCACATTTGTCTGTTGCTAACATTTATGTGTAATCCCCAAATCAATACTTACAACCCTTTTATGATCATTCACAGACATGCTCAGAACTGTGAAAAATTTGAGTCTCTCAGTATGCCACATTCCCAGTTGAGGGAGAACAAGGCGACGCTCTGCCTTTTGGTTTCAGCTCTCCTACTATAAAGCATCCTTTTTATGGTCTGTGTAGTGCCACATGGTCACATCTTTGTGCATTTTATTGGTGATTTCGCTGTTTAAAATTCTCCCCAACTGTAGTGCGAAGAGCTGTAAGGTGTTCCCAAGCACAGAGTGGCTGTGATGTGTCAAATGGGGAAAATACCTATGATAGAGAAGCTTTGCTTGGGTATGTTATAGTGCAGTTGGCTAGGAATCCAGTGTTAATAAGTCAACAAACTATATTAAAGTGCCTTTAAACAGAAACACACATAAAACAAGGTTGTGTGTTGAGTGGTTGATGAAAATGTGTGAGAGCAGAAGCTTGCAGGAACCTAACCCTGGATTTCCCCTGGGAGCAGTAGTTTGGCATTGGCTAATCTGCTAATGGTTCGATTCACTAATTGTTTTTTTCTTTTTAAGATTTATTTTATGGGGTGGAGAGAGCAGGAGGAGGGACAGAGGGAGAGACTCGCATGCAGAATCCCCACTGAGCACAGACCCTGATGCGAGGCTCAATCTCATAACCCTTAGATCATGACCTGAGCCAAAATCAAGAATCGTTGCTTAACCGACTGAGCCATCCAGGTGCCTCTCAATTCATTGATTGTTCATGGTAACTTTTTAGGATATAACTGTAGCAAATAATGAGAATTGGCATCTGTTATAACAGCCTAGGCGTGCAGGTGGCCGAGAGTGTATGTGCCACTCCAGCAGTGTTGGGGTCCCTTGGGGTGTGTTCTGGGGCTTCTGGTGGGCTACCAGAATAGGTGAGTGTGGGCACCAGTTTTCTTGGAGGCCTCCAGTTATATGTAGGCCATTGTGCTATGGCCCTTGGTCCTTCAACTACAATTTGTAACCATTTGTATTTCTTGTTTTTCAAAGTTTTCAGAAAGGCACTTTGCGGATGAACTGTCTTGATTGCCTGGACCGAACCAACACAGTGCAGAGCTTCATAGCACTCGAGGTCTGTCCCTGTTGTGTGAGGCCCCTTGGGCCACCTGGGTTATATCCCATGCCTCCATTGGCACGATGAGGGTGACCTCACTGGGCTAACTTTCTAACAGTGGGAACGTGGGGCAGAGATGTGCTGGGAAGCTAAGAGCGAGGTTTTCCTGGCTGGCCTTTGCCCCATTTTTAGGCACTCTTTGAGGAATGCATCCCAGACGTGGTGGCCCAAAGCTGCCAGGTGCCGCCTTGAATAACAGTGGTTCTGTGTAATGATTGCTGTGGATATCCAGTTGGGCAAGGGCAGTGTGAGGCTGGCTGAGATGAGGCTGAATCTGAAGCCTGGGAGGGAGATCTCAGTCTGTCTAGTGGCCCTCTGGCCCAGTACCTGGTTTACCTCTCCTGTCTCACCACTGGAGGGAAGGCATGGAGTCACCACTGCCTGCTGGGTATCCCTGATTGCTCTCCATCCCTCTGGTGCTCAGGGGTGGGGGATAGAGGAAGTCAAGAGTAAGGGGGGCAGAGGAGGGCTGATAGAATGATCAAGTTGGGTGAGTTGTGGTAGGAAGCCCCATTCTTTGCTCCAAGGATTCTTGGAGGGGCACAGAGTGAGCCACGGCCTGCCAAATAAGGAACCCACCAGAATGATGCCTGGTGATGTTCCCCCCGAACCAGCTATGGGTGATGGGAGCTTCCATGTGAGAAGACAGTGACCTCTGTCCCATATTTCTTATCTAGGTCCTTCATCTCCAGCTCGAGAGCCTCGGCCTGAATTCAAAGCCCATCGCTGACCGCTTTGTGGAATCCTTTAAAGCCATGTGGTCTCTGAATGGACACAGCCTTAGCAAGATGTTCACAGGCAGCCGGGCCCTAGAAGGGAAGGCCAAGGTAGGGGCAGGCCACAGGGAGAGAGGGAGGGCCTGCATGAATCCCTCTTACCACCTATGGTCTGGCTTGTGGCAGGTGGGTAAGCTGAAGGATGGGGCCCGGTCCGTGTCTCGCACTATCCAGTCCAACTTCTTTGATGGAGTGAAGCAAGAGGCCATCAAGCTGCTGCTGGTTGGGGATGTTTACACTGAGGAGTCTGCAGACAAAGGAAGGATGCTTCTGGACAACACAGCCCTGCTGGGTAAGCCCTGCTGGGCTCCCACTCCACTTGCACGGAGATGTCCAGCTGCCCTGCCCCCAGAAGGAATGGGTGGGAGTGGTGGGTGTGCTAGCCAGCCTTCCCGCTCCTCAGGTAGTCCCAAAAGGCAGGTAGCAGACACTCCCCTGAGCTGAGCTCCCATGCCCTGCATTTCTGGCCTGTGACTTGAGCTTGACCACTTGACCTAAGCAGCCTACGGCTGTGATTTGTATTCTTTTATGAAATGGTCTGTCATTTGCAGCCACAAGAGGAAGCTCAGGAAAAAAAGTTTATTCTTCAGAAGTAAGAACATACAGAGGCGTCTGGGTGGCTCAGTTAAGTGTCTGTCTCTTGACTTTGACTCAGGTCATGACCTCAGGGTCATGAGATAGAGCCCTGCATTGGGCATCAGACTCCAAACTCAGTATGGAGCCCGCTTAAGATTCTCTCTCTCTCTCTTCCTCTCCCACCCCTGCTCGCTCTCTCTCTCTCTCTCTCTCTCTCTCTCAAAAAATAATAATACAGACCAAAAGTGAAAGGTTGGAAAAAGATGTTTGTAACTATATTCCTAACAGACAAAAAGAGACTCTAAAACAAAGACTATTAATAGACAAAGGGCATTACATAATGATAAAGGGGTCCATTAAACAAGGTGACATAATGTGTAAATATATATATATACACACCCAACATATGAGCACTATGATATTTAAATGTTAACGTCTAAAGGGAGAGATTTACAGCAATACAACAATAGTAGGGGACTTTAATATCCCACTTATATTGATGGATAAATCATCCAGACAGAAAATGAGTAAGGAGACATTGGCCTTAAACAACATATTAGACCAGATGGATTTAACAGACATAAGCAGAACATTCCACCCCCCCAGCCAACAGAATACACATTCCTCTCAAGTACACATGGAACATTCTCTAGGATGGATCATATGTTAGGCCACAAGACAAATCTTAATAATTTCAAGAAGATTGAAATCCTGTCAAGCATCTTCTCTGACCACAATGGTATGAAACTAGAAATCAATTACAAGAAAACTGGAAAAAAACCCCACAAAAATGTAGAGATTAAACAACATGCTACTGAACAACCAGTGATGGGTGATCAGAGAAGCAAGGGAGAAATTTAAAAAATACCTAGAGTCAAACAACAGAAATACAATATACCAGAATCTTTGGGATGCAGCAAAAGCACTTCTATGAGAAAAGAGCACAGCAATACAGGCCTACCTCAAGGAAGCAAGAGAAATCTCAAGTAATCTAACTTTACAACTAAAGGAGCTAGAAAAAAAAAAAAAAGAATGAAGCCCAAAGTCACTAGAAGGAAGGAAGTAATAAAGACCAGAGGGGTAATAAATGAAATAGAGATTTAAAAACAGTAGATAAGATCTACAAGAATTGGTTCTTTGAAAAGATAAAATTGATTAAACTATAGCTAGACTAACCAAGAAAAAGAAGTGACTAATCAGAAATGAAAGAGGAGAATCATAGCTGACACCACAGAAATACAAAGGATCACAGGAGACTACACACATAATTCTATGCCAACAAATTGGACAACCTAGAAGAGATGGATAAATGCCATTCTTCCAAGACAGAATCATGAAGAAATACAAAATCTAGATAGACCGATTGTTAGTAATGAGGTTGTATTAAAAATTAAAAACCTCCCAAAGGGGCACCTGTCTCAGTTGGTTGAACATGCAACTCTTGATCTTGGGGTTGTGAGTTCAAGTCCTCTGTTGGGCAGAGAGATTTTGAAAAATAAAATGGAATAGCTGAAAATTAAAACCAAAACAAACAACAAAAACCCTCCCAATACACATAAGTCCCTTGACCTGAAAGCATCACTGGTGAATTCTACCAAACATGCAAAAAAGTTTTAATACCTGACCTTCTCAGCTCTTTAAAAAAATTGAAAAGGAGGGAATACTTCCAAACTCATTTTATGAGGCCATCATTATCCTGATATCAAAACCAGACTAGGATGTCATGCACCCACAACAAAATTGTAGGCCAGGATCACTGATGAACACTGACACACAAATCTACAATAAAATGTGCAAACCAAATTCAACAATACCTCAAAAGGATAGTTTTTTACCATGATCAGGAAGGATTTATTCCAGTGATGCAATGATGGTTCAACATCCACAAATCAATCAGCTGATACACCACATTAACAAAATGAAGGATAAGAATCCTGTTGATCTGGGCGCCTGGGTGGCTCAGTTAAACATCTGCCTTTGGGATCCCTGGGTGGCGCAGTGGTTTAGCGCCTGCCTTTGGCCCAGGGCGCGATCCTGGAGACCCGGGATCGAATCCCACGTCAGGCCCCCGGTGCATGGAGCCTGCTTCTCCCTCTGCCTATGTCTCTGCCTCTCTCTCTCTCTCTCTGTGACTATCATAAATAAATAAAAATTAAAAAAAAATCTGCCTTTGACTCAGGTTATGATCTCAGGGTCCTGGGATCGAGCCCTGAGTTGGGATCCCTGCTTGGCAGGGAGTCTGCTTCTCCTCCTCCCTTTGCCACTCCCTTCCCCCACTCATGCTCTCACACGCACTCTCTCTCAAATATCTTTTTTAAAAAAGATTTTATTGAGTTGACCATCTCAATAGATAATGGATAAAAAGCATTTGACAAAATTCAACATCCATTCCTGATAAAAACTCTCAACAAAGTGGATATGGAGGAAATTTACCTAAACATAATGAAGGTTATAGATGACAACCCCACAGGTAACATCATACTCAATGGTGAAAAGCTTTCAGCTTTTCATCTGAGATCAGGAATAAGACAAGGACGCCTAATCTTGCCCCTTTCATTCAACATGTATTAGAAGTCCAATTAGGCAAGAAAAAAGTCACCCAAGTTAAGAAGAATAAAACTGCCACTGTTTGCAAATGGCATACTATATATAGAAAACCCAAAAGACCACTCAGAAACTGTTAGAACTAATAAATGAATTTAGTAAAGTAGCAGGATACAAAATCAACATATAGGAATCTGATGTCTCTATACATTAGTAACAAATTATCAGACTGAAAATTAAAACAATTCCATTTACAGTTGCATCAAAAAGAATAAAATATCCAGGAATAAATTTAACCAGGAGATGAAAGACTTGTACTCTGAAAACTGTAAGACAGTGATGAACAAAACTGAAAAATAGGCAAATAAATAGATATTCTGTGCTCATGGATTGGAAGTATTAATATTGTTAAAATGTGCATACTATCCGAAACAATGTACAGATTCAGTACAATCCCTATCAAAATTCCATTGGCATTTTTCACAGAATTAGAACAAAGAATTCTAAAATTTGTGTGAAATCACAAAAGACCCCAAATAGCCAAGGCAATTTTTTTATTAAAGATTTTATTTATTTATTCATGAGAGACACAGAGAGTCAGAGACACAGGCAGAGGGAGAAGCAGGCTCCATGCAGGGAGCCTGACGTGGGACTCGATCCTGGGTTTCCAGGATTACACCCTGGGCTGAAGGCAGCACTAAACCGCTGAGCCACCCAGGCTGCCCTAGCCAAGGCAATCTTGAGAGAAAAGAACAAAGCTAGAGGTATCCAATTCTCTGATTTCAAACTAAACTGTAAAATTTAGTAAAACAGTATTGTATTGGTATAAAAACAGGCACACAGAACAATGAACAGAATTGAGAGCCCAGATTTAAACCCATGCATATATGGACTGCAAATTTATGACAAAGATGCTAAGAACATACAACGGCGAACGGACAGTCCCTTCAATAAATGATGTTGGGAAAACTGAACAGCTACATGCAAAAGAGTGAAACTAGACCACTGTCTTACACGATGCACAAAAGTCAACTCAAAATGGATGAAAGACTCGAATGTAAGACCTGAAACCATACAGTTCCTAGAAGAAAACCCAAGTAGTAAGCTCCCCCAACATTGGTGTTAGCAATATTTTTTTTGAATCTGACTCCAAAGGCAAAGGAAACCGAAGAACAAATAGATTGGATTACATCAAACTGAGTAACTTCTGCACAGCAAAAGGAATCATCAAAACGAGAAGGCAGTGGTGCCTGGTGGTGGCTCAGTCGATTGGGTGACTGCCTTTGGCTCAGGTCAAGATCCCGGTCCTGGGATCAAGCCCTGCATTGGGCTCTCTGCTCAGTGAGGAGCCTGCTCTTCCTTCTGCCTCTGCTGCTCCCCCTGCCTGTGCACACATGCTCTCTTGCGCACTCTCTCTCTCTCTCAAATAAATAAATAAAATCTTAAAAAAAAAAAAAAAAAAAAAAAACCTCAAAAGGCAGGGGGTAACTGGATGGGTCAGTCAGTTAAGCATCCAACTCTTGGTTTTGGCTCATGTCATGATCTTGGGGTTGTGAGATCAAGCTCTGCATCAAGATCAAGAGTCTGCTTTAGATTCTCTCTCCCTCTGCCTCTCTCCCTGCCTCACCGCCCCCCCCACCAGAAAAATAAAAATAAAAAGCAGCCTACTAAATGGGAATGGATTTTTCTGAATCCTATATCGGATAAGAGGTAATATCCAAAATATGTAAAGATCTCCTACAACTCACCAGTAACAACAAAAAAAATCAAGCAACCTGATAAAAGATGGCCAGAGGATCTGAATGGGCAGATCTCAAAGAAAACATATGGATGGTCAATGGGCACATGAGAAGATGTTCAACATCATTAATTACTAGGGAATGCAAATCAAAACCAAAATAAGATATAACCTCACAATGGCCAAAAAGGCAACAAGCATTGGAGAGAGTTATGAAGATAAGCGAGTCGTCATGTGCTGTTCCTAGGAATATGAATTGGCACAGCCACTATGGAAAGCAGTATGGAGATTCTCAGAGAATTAAGAATAGAACTACCATATGATACAACTCTTCCACTTTGGGGGATTTATCTGGAGAATGTAAAAACATTCATTCAAAAAGACATACATACCCTTATGTTTATTGCAGCATTTTTTTTAAGATTTTATTTATT